GGCCCAGCCTCTTTTGCCTTATGCCTATAATTCTCTTAAAATTGAGGCAGGAAGATGGAGGAGATCGCAAGGTCACCCTGGGCTACATACTGAGTTCAAGCCCAGGCTGTACTAGATGGTGAGACTTTGTCTCCACAAAAATTTTTTTTTAAAAATGAATAAAATTTTTAATTCTAGGAGGAAAATGTTGTTGAGTCTGTACTGTAGTAAGGGAGTAAGGGTCCAGGGCATCACTGCCCTTGCCAGGAGCCCTGCTGTGTGGTGGAAGTAGAGGCTGGTTGCCCCCCGGCTGGAGCAGTTTTCCCAGCCTGTTTCTACCCTGTGCTGTTAAATGCACGCAGGCCACCTTCACACTCGCGTTCTTGTGCCATAGCAGCCCACAGTCAGCTTAGCACAGATGTCAACAGAAGCCAGGTTAGGAGCTTTGCTTCAGCATAAGTGCCAGTCCTAGGCTGTCACCCCACCCCCAGCTGCCTGTGCTGGTCACAGTGTAGCTTGCCCAAGCTGCACAGCAGGTCCAGACCTGACCTATTCTGAGACGGGGTCTCACTTTGTAGTACAGGCTGGCCTCAAACTCAAGGTGATCCTCCTGCCTCAGTCCCCCAAGTGCTGGAATTAAAAGCATGTGCCACCATACCCAGTGCTTCTCAAATGTTTTTAGGGCTATAAGCCTTCGATCAGCAGCTTGGGTTTGAACCGTAGACTAGGAGCCCCAGGTGAAGCTGAGGGCAGCAGGATAGAGATGACTCTCAAGCAGGGGCACAAAGATTTACCCTCCCTAGGCTGGAGAACTCATGCGCTGGGATGCCTGACAGAATTTTCAGCATGGCTAAAAAGATAAGAAGTATGAAATAAAAGTGGCCTTTATTTTAAGAATGTGGCGAGAGACTCCATGACCTCTGGGGTCTGGCATTCTCTCCGCCGGACACGTGGTGTGGGGGCATACATATAGCTTAGGTTTGGGGTGGAGCTTAAGGGGCATTACTCATGCACAGGTAGCCCACTGGAATTCATTTCAGGCCACATGTAAATTGCTTAGGGTCGGGGAAGATGACCTCAAGATAGAGCCTCTTGGTTCTGTCTCCCAGCCTCCCACCACTGCAGCTTCCCATCCAGGGCACAAAATCCTTTCAATGCCCACATCACCACTATTACCTTCCAGGTCATGCCCAAGTTCCGCCGTGTGGCTTACTGCATCTCCTGCAGCCTAGAGCACCCAGGCGAGGGCCACTTCCCTCTGGCACAGACAGATCCAGGTTTGACTTGGATCAAACGCCACACTGGGTTTCCCATGGCCTGGCCCTTGTGACCCTAGGGATCGTCCCAGCTTCCTCCTGGCCCTAGGTAGAGGCCTGAGCAAGTCCCACCCTGTCCTTTCCATAAGGACACTGGGTACCATAGGAGCTGCCACCCTCAGCCATCTAAAGCAGCCCCTCCCTCTTACAGCAGGGTGTGAGCCATTGTAACAAAGCCACTCACACAGGCGCTGAGAGACAGCAGGCAGCACCTGGGTCAGCACAATGCCCCTCTGAGCCCCCCTGCCAGCTCCCCCAGAGTCCAACTTCCTATCCCCAACCCAGCAGAGGGACAGCTGCCAAAGACATTGTACCTACGATTATGCCACCACACCCACCAGGGGCCCTTGTCGGTGTCCCCAAGTTCAGCTCCCCTGCCCTGTGTGACTCACAGACTCTGGTTACCCACCTTGGGAGAGAGAGCCCTGCAGCCCTGTGGGCACTGCGTGCCACACCCACCCCACGCAGAGCCCCATCCCTCTCCATGGCCATTCCTCGCCTTCTGAGAACTTTAGCAGCTGCTGCCCTGTTGAGGCCTGTGCTTCAGTGTGAGCAGCCAGGCAGGGGCAGTAGAATGGAGGTATAGACCGGGTGGAGAGGAGCAATGGCAGAAGAGGCTGCGCTGCAGACCCAAGGGTGCAAAGGTGAAGAGGCAGAGGCAGGACAGCCCCTCTCCTCCTCACTCTGGACACAGTCCTTGACTTAACCACTCCAGGCTTTTCGTATTCCAGGCTGCAGAGCTTTCCCATCCCTTCCTACCACCATAGAGTCCCTGCAGAATTATTTTTAGAGTCTTTCTTACCACATCAGGTGACGGAGATAAATAGCTAATGAGACAAGGTAAATGGCATGCACAAAGAGTCCTTTTCCTGTACGTTTCCTAAAGGGACACCAGCACTCCATATAGCCATGGGGAACATCAAAGCCAGCCTTAAACCCCAAGGCCCCACTCAGCTGATGCTGGACATACACACATCAGTCACCTCTGGTAGGCTGGGGTTGGGGGTGCTCTGAGACTCTCCAGTTGATCCTAATGGAGCTAAGGGCACCTAGGAACACAGGAAACAGACATGGAGGGTTCCTGGGGCAGGATGCAGGAAGGTGAGCAAAGTGGACATGACAAGAAGGTGCCCGTGTACAAGTGATTAGCAAAAGGGCTTCAGAGACTATGACCTCTCCCTCAGGGGCTTCTGAAGGGAAAATGTGAGGCCCTGGCCTACTCACGATGCTGCCTCCTGCTGAGTGCTGGGTTCTAGGGAACAAAGGAGCTAACACCTGCCTGGCCTAGCCCCATGAGGGGACCACTTACCATCACTGAGGGAAGGTCCTTCCCTGCTACCCAGGAAGGAGGGTCAGCCCTTCTCTAAAAGGGAGTCCTTCCCTCTGCCAAATGTATCCTACATCTGCCCTAAAGGCCCACTCTCAGTACAGACATCAGTCCCATGCCAAAATGCCAGTCCCACCTCCCACCCAGTTCCAGGATGCCCTTCTGATACCCTCACCCCCAACTCCTTGGGGATAGCAGTGTACAGTTCTGGATCTGACTCAATTTGGTGTCCTAAGACCTACATGGGAGTTGGGGATGCAGAGTAGGGTGTTGGAGCCTAGAGAGAGCCACATAATACCCCCAGCACATTGCCAGCACTGACCTTGCCCAAGGTACTCCCAGTAACCTCAAACAAGAGCAGCATAGATGACAGGGTATGCCCTGTGTCCACGCCAGCACCAGGCTCTAAGCCAACCTTGCTGCTGCCAGAGAGAACCACATGACCCATTCAGAGACCACAAGGCCACCTGTCAGAATCACCTAACCAAGCTGGGCAGAGCAGGCAAGGTGGGTCTCACAGCACAGGGTCTGTGGACAGGGAGCCAAGGGACATGGGCATGGGCATGGAAGGGAAGTCAGGCCCCAGGAGCAGAGACCCTGCAGGGTAGATGCAGTAAAGAGGTCTTTGGGAGCCACCCTGGGGCCACCAGCCCTCAACTCTGATCCTAGGGTCTCAGAGGACAAGTCCCTACCCTAAGGACACAACATCAACCCCAGGAGGCTGAAAGGAGGCTTGGGCTCCCCTGTGGTCCCTCAAGAGCATGTTGGGCCTGGATAGGGAGGAGTATGAGTCCTTCCTATGTCAGGCTGGGAGCAGTACTTAGGGCACCAAATGTCACCATCAAGATATTGGGGCAGGGATCTTGTCCCCAACCCAGGGGCTTCCCACTCTGTCCTGGTCATGTATCAGCTTCTACGTATACCAGCTCAGACTCAACAGCTCTCATGGGTAGGGCAGAGGAAACTGTGCAGAGGAGTGCGCCCCAGAATGATAACACCACTGCCCCCTAGAGATGTTGAGAATCAACACCATAAAGTCTAATTTCAGCCAATGAAATATCCCTCCTGATTCCCACAAGTTCTGGCTGTCACCTAGGCCAAGGCCAAAGGGGAGCTGGGCTCAGAGGGTGGCAGCTCAGCAAGGTCTGGACTGTGGGATAGAAGATAAAAGTCCTCTACTTCCTACCAGAGACTTGGGGACACAGGGTCTTCTGCCCCAAATTAAAGGGCTCTACAGGAAAGAGCAGGGGCCTGGAGAAGGCTGAGCCAGGCAGGAACAGCCACTAGAGGTAACCCGCCAGGAAAATGACCTTGGTGGCCAGGATTGCCAGCAGCAGGGTGCACCAGGATAGCAAGAAGGCTAGTACAAGAGGAACTAAGGAAGGACAGTGGACAATGGCTTAGACATCAGGGAAGGGTCATCCCAGCCAGGCACTCTTGTCTATGAGCCCTAAATGTTAAACTAGCTGCGAGGCCAGACAAGGAGATGCCCCCAGAGCCAGGGAAGGAAGAACTGGAGCTCAAAGCTCTGCTTCAGGTGGTCCCAGAAAATGTTCAGCCCACCCTGTGACAGTGAAGGAAACTGAGACTAAGACAAGTTAAGGGGCTGAGCCAAACCATGAAGCATATGAACTGCCACAGACTGACATCAACCCAACCTCCAATCCACTGGCTGCTCTGATCTCCGAGTAGCTCTCTGCTTCCCCTGTTTCCACTGGGAGACAGTGGTGGGGGCTGAAGGTTTTCCCAGCAGGAGGCCAAGGAAGGCAGACTGCCACGTTCTAGGGGCACTCCCAGGAACAGGGGTACCACTGCAGAGCTGGGATTACAACATCAGGGACAGTGCCCAGGAGTGACAGGGTGTGAGATGAGTGGCTGGGGAAGGCCCTTCTGGGAAAGTGATGTGAGCAGAGACTGAATGAGGCTGGGGTCAGCCATGTGGCAACATGGCAACAGCAGAAGCAAGCATGGCAGGAAGCCACGGGTAGCAGAGCCCCGGCCCAGCGGGCACAGAGAGAAGAGGACACGGTAAGGCACTATGTGCTGATGGATGTCCTTCCAGAGTCTGCAGAAATGCCATCAAGTGCGTTTAGCTCCTCATTCCTGAAACACCCTTTTGCTTTCCCCAAGACTCTTGCCAGGTCAAGAGGAACTATAAGTGGACTGGAACCGGTCAGTGCTGATAAGTATTTTCTGAGGGACACTGGGAACTGTTATCAGTGTTATCTATCCTAGCTGCTCTCCTGCCATCTCCTTGCTAAGTCAGCAAGTTCCCTAAAATGCCAGTCACACAATAGAACAAAGCCAGTCAAGGATGTCTCTGCATTGGAGTGTTATCTATAAGCCCCTCCCTATGTGCTGTCGGGGAGTGGAACAGAGTACTAGGAGGCTGTCTTTCAGCAGCCCTCAGTATTTAGTCCTGAGCACTCGCCTGGCTTGTCACCCTAGGACCTCCCCTGAGGTACCACTGCTGAGTACACACACCTCAGGAGTTTTCAGAGCAGCACTGGTATTGAGCACACGCCCTCGTGTACCTTCGGAACAGCACTGTTGGACCCCTGCTCACATCTGCACTTCTTTCATGCTTCCGTGGACCCTTCCCTTTCTGTAAGTATCCATTAACCCTGTTAATGCCTGCTAAGCCTCATCTCTCCCAAGCCATTTCCCTCTCAACAGTCTTCTGCCGCTGTCCCAGCATACCTGGCTGAGGAGGAAACACGGGTGAAATACTCTGAAGGGGAGGATATTTGTTCCTGGTGGGTAAATAGGGTCTGGGATCCTCCTGCAGTTACACAGTTGGGTTCCCCAGGGGAGGGGAGAGTCAGGGCCACTGAACACTAATCCAGCCCCGACCAGGCTTCTGACCCCCACTATGGGGTAACGCAGGGAGGCCCAGGAGCCAGGAAGCCAGCATAGGCAGGTGGCTCCTGAGGCCCGTGCTCACCTTCTGCAGACTCCATCAGAACAGCACAAGTGGACAGGACGCCCTGAGCTAGACACAATGAATTCCCCTTCCCCTCTCCCCACTGGGGGGAAACAGTGTCCCTGGCCTGGTGCCTGCAGCTGGAGACCAATGTGAGGCCCATTGTTTGAGACCAGCCGGCAGGGGCCACAGGAAACCCCCAGCAATGTTTTTTGTCCTGTTGATACAGATCCAGGACACTGCGTAAGGACTGCACGAAGGGACAGCAGTGTCCTGCAGAATGAAGGCACTTGGAGCTATGGTCCTGATCCTGCTACTGTGTGGGCAGCCAGGTGCAGGGATGCATGGTGACCTCTGGTGGGAGGTGGCATAGCCTTGGCTTATGGGGACCCCCAGGGACCGCCAATCTGGGACAAGACATGGGCTTGGGAAGAAGAGGATGAGGCTGGAGTCCCCTGATCCAGGGAGATGGGTGAGGCTGTCCTGGGCCCCTAACATCATTGTGGCCCTAGTGCCAGGCTCAGCCTTTCCAACACTGCAGTGCTTTCAGGGTTCCTGCCCTCTCTTGGCTTCAGTTCCTCCTTCTGGGAAAGGGGCAGGCCTGAGTGACAAACATGGACAGAGGAATGGGGAGCCTGGCACTGGGCAGTGAGTGGGTGCCCTCTGAACGGGTAGCCAAAGTTTACATGTGTCCCTGTATGGACAGGCAGCAGCCAGGCACAGGAGGAAGAGGAGGAGGGTGACAGAGATTCAGACAGCTACAGCTATGATGATGAGGAGGATGAGGAAGAAGAGACCAACATGATTCCTGGCAGCAGAGATAGAGGTACCGGTCCACCCATCCCCGGGCTGCTGGGCTTCCTGCTCTAGGCAAGGATAAAGCAGATCTTCCAATACCCAGACCATGTGATCTGCCGGACACCCGATACCCTCACCCTGCTGGTTCTCCCCTGCTGCCCTTGGCCCCAGCCTGCTCCCCACCTGCATGGTATACCCCTGGGTCCTCATCTGCAAGGTTTGATCAGACTCCCTGCTGAGTCCTCACCGCCCATCTTAGGCAGAGCCACCGAGTGACAAGAAATGAGCAGAAAGTTTCCCCTGTAGACCTGTGCTGACCACTTGCTCCAAAAGCCCTCAGCATAGGTTCCTGCACGCTGGGGTCTGAGGATGTCTAACAAGGCAGGCAAGTGGACCTGGGAAGGCAGGCACTGAGGGCTGTCCTCAGCCTGACCTGGCCTCACCCACAGCACTGTCATGCTATACCTGTCCTTTGCTACACCACGGGGACAGCTGCAACCAGACAGAGAGATGCTCCAGTAGTCAAGACTCCTGTGTCATGCTTGTTAGCCACAGCAACACAGGTGAGTGGACACGGCCCAGCACACATGTACTCAGAATCCCAGCTGCCCTCTGTGTCCCAACCCATCAATACCTGTCCCCACTTCCCCCTAGATTCTGGTCCCCTGACTACCTACTCCATGTGGTGTAAGGACTCCTGCCAACCCATCACCAAGACCGTGAAGGGGACCCAGATGACCAAAACCTGCTGCCACTCACCCATGTGCAATGCCCCACCCTGGCAACACCCCCAAATCCAGGACCCACTGAATGGCACAACAAGCAGTCCCCAGGACAGTAGAACCAGTCATCCACAGGCTGGTGGGTCCCATGCCCCACCAAGCTGCCCCCAAAATGTGGGCACAGCCCTCCTACTCAACCTTCTCACTAGCCTTTGGGTGGTGGGGGCCTGAAGAACCCTCCCTGCCCCTGCTCACACTTGACAAGGCCAGCATTCTGTCCAGCACTTCCGCTTACCCTATCACCAGCTTCAGTGAATAAATTTGGAGTGTCTTTCATAACCCAGCCAACTCTGGACCTCCTTGGGCACCTGTGTCCCTAGGGCCTATGACCTCCAGAACTGCTCACCAGCTCAGCATCAGGCAGAGACGACATTGTATGCTTGGGGTACACCATCCTCACCCTTAAATTCCCAGCATGAAATTCCTCCAAACTCAATTGTCATTTAGCTCAGGTGGCAGCCAATGTGGGACAAAGTTCTTCCCTCACCTGTCTGGAGGGAAAAGAATTTGGGGGTATTGTTGGATTTTGTCTTAAATAGTCTCACTAAGTTTCCCGGGCTGGGGCTCAAAACGGTGATCCTCCTGGCTCAGCCTGAATAGCTGGGATCACAGGGTGCACCACTGTACTCAACTTAGGAAGAAGCTTTGGGGTGAAAAGAAGTCCTGGCAGGTTACAGGGGCAGGTAGAGCAAGGGGAGAGCAGGAGCTAATGAGGAACAAGGGGACAAGGGAAGGAGGGAGCTAATCTTGTAGCCTGACTCTGCCCTCTAAACTCCACCCTTCTCCCAGCCTGGTGGGCATGGGGGAAGAGGCTGGAGTGTGACAACCAACTCTATACTGGGGAGGGACTCAAGGGCCTGTGGCTCTTGAGGTGGGAGCCTGGGCAGCAGAGCCCTGCCTGGGCAGATGGGGACTCCTTAGCACCTCCCTGCTGGGCTGGCCCACCAGCTGCTGGGCACTGGCACTCTGCCTCTTTGACTGTACCAAGCTCTGCTAGACAAGCAGCTGGTGAGAGAAGAGAGCCTTGGGATGAGAGGAAGTCAACCTCAGTCTGGGCCACAGCTTTGTCCGCTTTGGAAGATCCAAAGTCCTTTCCTGCCTGCCACGCCCATTTCATTACTCTGTGTGTGCCTACGCTTGATCACTCTCCATTTCCTTACCAATAAAGCCTCAGTGCCTAGCTGCAGCTAGGAGTAAAGTGCCTGGGTGAGGAAGGGGCATCTCTTCCTCCTCCCGTGGGTTGAAAGGTATAAAGCCCTTTATACCATGAGGCATGTCATGGTGACCATGACAAGACAACATGGACGAAGGGATCTAACCACTGATAGTCGAAGGCATATAGCAGCTCTGCCCTGCCTATCTCAGGATCTGCGTACCTTGGAGGGAAATAAACTTCTGCAATGTTGAAATCAACTGTCTTGATTTCCGCTGCCTGCATTTTCACACATGCTCACACTCTGTCTCGCCCCCGCTGGTATAAAACTCAGAGCTGAGACTGCCTGGGTTGAAACCTTGGAGCTTGCAGCCCCATGGCTTCCGGGAATCTGTTCCCCTCCAGCTCAACCTTCTCCTGGCCAGCCAGCCTCCTGCAGATTTCAGAGGGGCTTTCAGCCCTGAGAGAACTCTGTGCCTGCTGGGCTGTCACTGTCGCATTTATTGTGACTCTACTCCGCGTGCATATTTGCAGGAACTCCCACTCGTGCTAGCCCCAGCTGCTTAGGACCCAAGAGAGCTCCTTAGCCATGTCTGACTAGAAACTCTGGGCACTATTACCTTTGTTCACAAAATTGCTCCTCAAAGGGCTGTCTTAAAGCCGCATGCAGATCCAAGGGGACAGTCTCCCATGACCCTCAACTTCTCATTCTTTTGAGACTCATGAGGAAGGAGCTGGGACTCAGGGATCAATCTGAAGTCACTGGCTCCAGAGCACACCCTGGCCTCTGGCTCCTGCCCCTATGACAGTCTCTTCTCCCAGGGCCCCCATGCCACTATCAGGTGAAGCAAATGTGCAGCCCACTCCTCACTGAGTTCTGATCTGACCTTCCCTCCTGAAGGAAGAGAGCAAGCAACCATGCTCTGACAGTACCATCTGCCAGGAACCAGACCAAACACAGTCCAAGCCGCCCCACAGGGTTTGCGGTCCCAACACCCAGAAGGCATTGCTATTCTTTCCAGTGTGGCACAGCTGGGGCCCACTGACAAAGGAAAGACTACAGCTGCTCAGGGTCACACATGGAGTGGCTATAGCCCAGGATCCACGCCCAGCACTTCCTGCCAACTGAGGGCACCTCAGGCCTCAAGGCTGAGGCGCCAGGAGGGCTGAGCTGCTGCAGCGGAGGTGGGAGACCGGATGCTGGCTGAGGCCTCTCAATTTCCACAGTCCTGGCCAGGTAGGGCAGAAGTACCAGTGGATGGTGACAGCCAAGACAGCCTGGGCCCTGCATGAAAGCCAATATAGGACACCAGCTCCTGGAACAGCTGTTGGGTACTAGCTTCAGTTCCAAGGTTGTGTGGAGCCCACCATTCCTCCTCCGGCTGGGCAGCAGAGAACAGAGTGGGGCTGAACACAGCCGCAGGATTCATGTTGTCTATCTCGGCTCCCCATGCCTCCCACAGCAGATTACCACAAACACAGCAATTTCAAACAGTACAACTTTGTGCCACAGTGCTAGAGTGTTGTTACAGTTTAGATTTTAAATGTCCCCAAAGACTTGGACCCCGCCTGTGGCATTACTGGGTAATGAAGGGATCTTTAAGGAATGGGGCTTAGCAGAAGTGCCCTTGAAAGACCTAGTGCGTCTGTCTGTCTCTTTCTCCCCCTCCCCCTTTCCCTCCCTCTTTCCCTCTCTCTGTCTCTCTCTCTTTTTCTCTCATTTCATGGCCTCCACAAGGTAAGCTACCTCCTCCACACACTTCCACCATGATGTGCTGCCTCATCACAACCCAAAGGCAACAGGACCAAGTGACCATCACTGGCCAAAATAGCCCTTTCCTCCTTCTGAGTTGAATTAGCCTGTTGGACAGGGAGACCTACTCATCCCTCCAAATTGGGCAAGTAGGACATGAGAAGGTGGCTCAGCAATTGCCCATGTCCCATGAAGCCTGTCCTGGCTAAGGCTCAGAGCTCTCCCTAGTCAGGTCACTCACTGCCTGGTCATTGAGGAGCTACAGAGGGACATGGGTGCTAAGGCCTAAAGGGTAGACTTTGTAGGCTGAGGTCACAGAAGCCTGGTGCCCCTAAGGGAGGCATGGATACCATTTGGAGGGTTGAAAGGACCCTGAGTGACCCCAAGGCTTCAGGGTAGGGTCCACCAGGGCCCTACCTCACCTAATCTCTCTGGGCCTTGTTTTCCTCTTCTATAGAATCTAAGGTTGGCAAGGATGTTGCAGGGGGAGACTTGGCCAACCCAGGAATGGGGAGTAGGGCAAGGTATGGGTAGAACTAAGGCTTTGAGCCTGGTCACCATGACAGACACCCACCTGGGAACACAGCCTTTTCCCACGAGACAAAGCCAAATTCAGCTGGGGGACATGGTCACATCCCAGCCCAGAATCCCAGGGCACTTTGGCCAAGTGACAAGGCCAAAGTTGCAAGAACCCCCGAGATTCAGCATGCCCTCTGCAGAGCACAGGCTGAGTAGGAGTCACAGCTCGCAATGGAGGTGCCGCTAGCCTTCTTTCCCACAGCCTCTTGTTCCTCAGCTTCTATCCTGTTCTCTGCATAGTTGAGCATTTGGCTCATGCTAGGTACTCTGTGATCCTCAGCCATGCATATCCCTCCCTTGACTCAACAGATAGGATCCCTGGTTTTGCTGGCTGGAATGAAAATACCAGGCAAGTCAACCTAGAGCAGGACCAGAGCCTGTGCTCTCCAGCTCTTCCTTTCCCTGGACAGCTTTGGGGTTCTGGAGGACTTTCCCTGTGCTGGTACCTGAATCCTCACTCCAGTACTTCCACATACTTGTGACAGGAGCTGAGTAGTGGTAAAGATTCTCTGCCCTCCATCATCACTGCCCCAAGCAATCAGGCTCCAGGCTGCCATGACGGAGAGATATAAAGGTGAGCTGATGAAACACTGGCCCTCCTCATCTCACCCCAGTGCTGCCAGTGCCAGGTTTGGGGACCACATTATGGGCTGAGATTTCTGCCCCCATCAGAGGTCCTGGGAGAGGACATGAGATTGTACTGAGTCGATCAGAGCTCAGGGGCAAGGGTGGGGAGACAACCCCTGGGCTGACTTCCCAGAAGTCAGCCTGGCTGGCCCACAGCAGACCCAAAGGAGGGGTGCTGAGGGGATGGCCTTTTGCAGAAAAAGAACATATGCCCCACATTATGACTGAAGAATCCCCAGCCCTTTCTTTTCTGTTGGTGACTATGGCTGGTGCTCATCACATGCTCATTTAAGCTAATGCATGCACGCCCTCCTGTGGGGCCAGGCCCAGCACAGAGACCCAGGTTGGAGAGATACACCTTTTCTGACAGAACCCAGTCTGCTGGGGTATGGAGACAAAGAGGGACACGTATCCCAGAAGCCAGTGATACCCAGAAGGGGAAAAGTCCCAGACTACAGACTAGTCTCTGGGTGTTTGCCTGAGTGCAAACCCAGGGACACTGTTCCTTCCTCACTGGGGCCACCCTGACAAGCTGGTATACTGAAGGATGATGCCCTGGCCTGGCTCTAGAAAGTCAAAAGGGGGCCCCGTCCAATGGGAAGACCCTCCTTGAGTCCCACTGTCAGGTCCAGATGGATGCAGCCCCCACAGCTCCTGAAGGTGCCCCACCTGGATTAAGTGTGTCCAGTGTGCTGACACCATTCTAGGCTCACCTTCTTCTTCTCTTGCCTAACTGGGGCTCTGCTGCAGTAACAGAGCCCAGGAACTTGACTTCCCTGATGTTTTTCTATGAATTTCCTGCCTCATAGGAGAGGAAGCAGCCGTCCACTCTCCACTTCTTGTTCCTCTCTGGACTGTGAGAACTTGCTGAGGCATAGGCACAAAGCAGGAAATTCCTGAGGAAGGAGAATCGTCATCAATGCCCTTCCAAAACCACAAGGGCTTACAGAAGCCAGCAGGCATGGGGGCAAGCCAGTGTGCTGCTGGAGGCAGAGCAGGGTCATCCTTGCACCCAGTTCCCTGATGCCATGGGCCACTACAATAACTTTCCAGGATTCAGCTATCACCAGCTCAGTATTGTAGAAGACAGCACCTCCTCCAGCTGACCTCAGGCTGGACATCAAAGGACTTTCACCCACCACACTGTGACAGGGTCCAAGACATGGGGGTCTGGCTGATTGGAAGGGAGCTTTATTTAGGGTATCAGGGACTTCTTGAGAGCAGAGGCACCTGGGCAGAATAACATTAGTGTCTCAGGTACTCACCTAAGAAGACTCTGACTATGTGAGCAAAGCCTGGCCACGATCCCAATTGGGGAATCCCTTAGGGAAATCCACAGAGAAATAGAAAACACTCCAAAATAGGCTGGGGATTTAGCTCAGCAGCAAAAGCACCTGCCTTGCAAGCAGCAGTTGTGAGTTCAATCCCTAGTACCCAAAAAATAAAAATAGAATACTCCAAAATAGAAAATTCTCTGCAAAAGACCTCATAGTGGGACACAAAGAAAAACCAGAGCGGAGGAACAACTTCAAACACATGAGACAAAGAATTATGTCTACAAACCATCTACCACCCATCCCTGAGCTCAACAGTTAGAAGTTAGGCAAGGCTAAAATGAAAAGCAGTGGCCACATCAAATGCAGGTGAGGATGCAGAGAAACCAGGTCATTTGAGCACTGTTGGTAGGGATTTACAATGGTGCAACTGCCCTGGAAAACAGAATGGTTGATTCTTACAGAAGTAATTATGCAACCAGATGTGGTGGTATAGTGACAGGTGATGCCCCAGCCTGGCTCTAGAAAGTCAAAACGAAGGCCAGTCCAGTGGGAAGACCCTCCTTGGGACCCACTGTTTAGGTCCAGATGGATGTGCTCCCCACAGTTCCTGAAGGTGCCCCACCCAGATACCTGCCTGTAATCCCAGCACTCTTGGAGGCTGAGGCAAGAGGACAGCAAGTTTGCGCCCAACTTAGTGACAACTTGTTGCGAGAGAGAGAGAGAGAGAGAGAGAGAGAGAGAGAGAGACAGAGACAGAGACAGAGACAGAGACAGGAGAGACTAAAGAAAAGGTGAGGCAAGACTGGGAGTTTAGTTCAGTGTGAAGGCCCTGGATTAAACCTTCAATGGGAAGGAGAGAAGAGAGGGGAGCAAAGAAGAGGGAAGGGGAGGAGAAAAAAGAGAACACTGACAATCCAGCTGGAAGAGGGGTAAACCTCACTGGACACAGAATGCTGAGAGGGTTTCATTAGAAGGAGTGAGACAGGCTTTCCTAGGGTTGCTTCCCTGCGCACGGGATGGCTTCTTCCTCCTTCAGTGCATTGGGACCTGCAAAAGTGCCCACCGGTCTTCACCAACCAGCCCAGCCCAGGGGGCCTCCTGTCTCCTGGAGGTGGGAGATCCTTCCTCATGTCTCAGAATCTAGGCCAAAATGACCCAGAAATGGCAAAATTTGGGGAATCAGACTGCAGGCTAAGTCGGCTAGCAAAAAAGAAGTCAGTGTTGAAGCTCTGTATCAGTTTCCTTTACTGTAAAAATGGAAATGCTCACATGGCACTGAAAGGGATAGGAAAGTAAGGCCCCTTTCCCACCCCCACCCTCACACCTACCCCCACCCCACCCCCACCCCCGCTCAAGGAAGGAGAGGGAGGAGCTAAAGGCAGACCGCCAGAGAGGACACGTTGACGAGGAAAGCAGATGCGACGTGCAGCACCGCCGGGCGCCGCTGGGGCTGCCGAAGACACGCGTAGAGATCAGGCAGCCCTAGTAGGCAGGGGCGGGGCGAGGCAGCCGTCTGAGACCCGCAGAAGTGCAGCCCCGGGGATAGCCCCCCCCCCCCGCAGAAGTGCAGCCCCGGGGATAGCCCCCCCCCCCCCGCAGATCCACAGATCGACCGCTCCTCGGTCACTAACGAAGTCCAGCTGGGGTGGAGCCCCCGCAGCACCACCACCGAGAGGCGGGGCGCCGGAAGGAGCAGGCCCTGGCTGGGGACCGGGTCGGCTCGGCACGGAGGCTGAACCGCAGCTCCAGGAGCAGTGCCGGAAGGGGCGGGCCCTCGTGTGTGCGCCGCCCCCCGCTGGTGAGGCGGAGCGGCGGGCTGCGGCGCAGTGGGGACCCTTCCCCAGCTGGCTCGGCCAGGCGTCTGCGCCTGGGGGCGGAGGCGCTGGTGATCCCTGGTCTCCACTAGGTATCTACTGCATTCGCGAGCGCTCTGCGTCTCTGGGGCTCGCGGTCCCGCGGAAGCGCCCTGGCGTCGGGAATCCTGCTTGCTGCTCCCCCAGGACCACTCCACCTGGGCCAGGGTCTCGGGTCTGGGCGTGGGTTGGCGGCGGCTTTGGACTCCCCTGGAGAATCCAGTTTCCCAGTCTACGTTCTTGAGGGCTTGGTGGGAAGAGAACCAGCTTCCTAAAGGGAATGAATGACCAGCTGATTGGTGCCAAGATGTCTGGGTGACCAGGTGTAGGAGCCACCTTGAAGCTGCATAGCAAGGCAGGAAAGCTTGGCTGTTAGGCCAGCAGAAACTGAGCTACCTTATATCACTAGCACGCTCAAGGCTTGTGAAGTAAGAGGGCCAAGAACACGATCGCTATGGTGTATGCCGTTTGTAACAATTATTTCATCTCTTCCGTGTGCACAGCCCCTGCCTTAGGGCCTGCCAGCTTGGGCAGAGGAGACTGTTTCAAGGTGTTTCCAGAGCTCCACGTATGCCGGGATCAGGAACATGGGGATGTAAAGACCGTTCTTCCCTCAAGAACCTTACGTTGAAAGAAGACTGACCTGTGTGGGACCAGCTACACGGGAAAGTGACAAGTGCCCTGGTGGAAGAAGCAGTGCGTGCGGCCATAGAACCCCACACCAGCCCTAGTAGCATCCTCAAAGTGCAGTCAGCATAGAACCCAGGTGCCTTCACATCCTGCTTTGAACTGCTCAGCCCACTAGGTGGGACAAAATGTAGACTGCCCTTGTGTAGTGGCTCTTGGTTTTACTTCTTTTCTGCTAATACTAGGTCCTGACCTCAGTTGAGCAGGGATCAGGTGCTGTGGTGCATGCCTGTAATCATAGCTCTTTTGAGTACTGAGGCAGGAAGATCACAACAAGTTCAGGGTAGGCAACTCAAAATCCTGTATGCCCTGGGTTCAGTCTCCTTTACTGTGGAGAGTGACCGGGTGAGCCTTTGCAGAGCACCGCTGTGATCCCTCACTGAGACGCTGCCTTAGTCCTGCAGCCTCCCCCAGCCTCGGTGTCCTTTCAGCTTCAGATCTGTCTCACGCTTCTCAGAAGTCGTCTCCAGGTAGTTGCCTTGGATGCTGATCTGAATCCAAATCAAGCTTGTCTAAATGTTTTCATCCAAGAAAGATGGCATTCTCAGATTCCGTGTAAGGTAAGAAAATACATACAGTCACCTTACACCAAGCATCTCTCCATAGAGAGCGTAGAGTGCATGTGTCACTTGCGACATGTTTCACCTCCATTTCCTAGCCAGGCTAGACCCCAGCCTCAGATTCTAGTTTGGTTGACCAAGAACCAATACAAGTAAGATGAAATACTGTTATCTGAAACATTTTGAAGTAAGAGCTGGCAGAATTCTGAGCCTTTGAGTAAGAGTCCCAGGTCATGGACTCCTTGCTAAGCATCTGCAAAAACAATTCAAATAGTAGACACAGTCTGCTGTGCTCAGAGGTGCAAGGGACAGAGTATGATTCCTGATCTGTTGTAAGTTTCCTTCACCAGCAGTTTTTTAAAGGGCCTGAAGTTTATCAAGGTCTCATACTGGAATCTGGGTAGTTAACACTTGAGAGAGAAGTAGGTCAGGGAAACTTGGAAAAAATAGGGTAGGGTATCTTAATTTATGTTTTTACAGTGCTGGTGATTGAACCCAGGGCCTAGGGCACTCTAATACTGAGCTATACCTCCAGCCCCTGGAGCAGGATTCTTAACAAATGCAACACAAAACCATGCAGCTGCTGGTCACAGAAACCTAGACTCTGCCTGTCCTTTGTCAGTGGGTTTTACTGGTGCTTTCAACTGATACTGAGATTGAGAACTGTCAAATAGACTTATAGACTGAAAGTATCAAGTCTTCCTCTGTGAGAAGTCCTTAAAAAAGACATCTGTGTAGGAAAACTCAGACAAAGCCAGCTGAGGCCTAGTTGAGGTTGGCAAAGGCTTTGGCTCGAAGTCCAAATGAGAACCTCAACAGCTCAGGCAAGGAAGCAAGGAAATCTGCCAAATTAGGACTGACTCTGCCACTCCCTTCTATGCCTTGTGGGATGGCAATGAAGATTAGTTATGCATATGTTTGTCAAATGCTTGGAATAGAAGATGTGCTCCTAAAGTGACAGTTAAAGCTTTTGATTTTTGAGTCATTCAACAAATATTCGATGATGTATCTGTATGTTCCGAGAGTTGCCACAAAGCACTGGGAGAGATAACACATGAATTTTAAAAAAAGGCCACATTTGCTCAGAAAATTAGAGAAGCCAGGCCAGGCCAGGCTCCAGTAAGCCCAGCTACTTGGGAGGTTGAGACAGGAGGATAAAGAAGTTAGGGGCAGCCTGGGCAATGTAGTGATAATTTGTCTCAAAAAATAAAAAGGGCTGAGGATATAGCTCAGTAGTTAGTGATCCTTGGCACGGGGTGGGGAGGTGGTCAAGGTATAAATAAAGAAGGAAAGTGGGGCACGCTAAGGGAGGGAGCCTGTAAGGCTAATAGGGGCCATCAGAATACAGCTCTTTGGGCGGGGGCCAGCTCTGTGCAGACCTCTAGAGGCAGGAAAAATGATACATGTTTGTGTACTCTAAAACTGGCCAGGATGAGGAGGGAAGGGAGAGGGCTGAGGTGTATTGAGCTTGTTAGTATGAGGGGAAGGCTTTCCCATTTGAGCAAGGATGAGAAAGGTGGGAACTGCTGGCTGCTGTGGGCCAGGAAGAGGCAGCTCCCCCCAGGTCAGGACCAGACTCTGGGTGGTGGATGCAGCTCCTACCAGAGCACCCAGCTGATGTCGGTGTGTGCAAGTGGAAGAGTGAGAAGGAGCCAATTTGGGAAAACGAAGGAGTGGAAGCCAAGTGACGTGGAGTCCTACTGGACATGCCCTTGTCTTTAGGCAGAGGAGAGCACCCCAGCCAGTTGATGAGTGACAGTGCCACTCACTGAAGTGAGAAAGCTGGGGAGGGGGAAATGAGGGGTAACTGGGGAGTCTAGAGGGATGCAGCCTAGGAAGGCACATTTGATGTGGTGTCCCTATCTTGCTTTTGCAGCAGCAAGAGACCAGGTGCCATCTTCCTGGAGCAGAGCTTCAGCTGCACACATAGGACGTGGCAAGCCACCCATGTTGGACTAGAGTTACAAAAGAATCAGGAAACCTCTGACGGTAAGCTCTTAGCCCTCCTTGGCTTCCTGGGTGCTTCCTGCCTCCCACCTCCCAGGATCAGTGATGGAAAAGCCTGCAGGCAGGAAAAAGGCAACCCAGGCCCCAAAGGAGGAAGCAGTAATGCAAGAGGCCACTGTTAAAGAAGAAAAAGTATCAGGTGGGAAAAGGCTAAACAAGAGACGTTCAGGGGCCAGAAGACGCTGCCAAGAGCCGACTCTGAGCCCTGAGGACGAGGCACATCTCTTTGATGCCTTCGATGCTTCATTTAAAGATGACTTTGAGGGTGTCCCTGTGTTTGTGCCCTTTCAGAGGAAAAAGCCCTATGAGTGCAGTGAATGCGGGCGGATATTTAAGCACAAGACGGATCACATTCGCCATCAGCGAGTTCACACAGGAGAGAAGCCTTTTAAATGTGATGAGTGTGGGAAGACCTTTCGGCACAGTTCTGATGTCACTAAACACCAGAGAATTCACACTGGTGAGAAACCCTTTAAATGCAGGGAGTGCGGGAAGGCCTTTAACTGTGGCCCCAACCTCCTGAAACACCAGAAAACACACACAGGCGAGAAGCCCTATGAGTGTGAGGAGTGTGGGAAAGCCTTCGCCTATAGCTCCTGCCTTATCCGCCACCGGAAGCGCCACCCAAGGAAGAAGTACTAAGCTGACCGTGGCCTGTGGCACTCCGAGTTTGTGCTGATGCACCATGGCTTCTCTCATTCGTGGAGTCATGTGCAATGTACCAGGTGAGCCTGTGGCTACCTGGTTCTGTCCTCACCAGGAAAATCCACCTGTCAGACATGTGAGCAACTGAGCCAGCCCTGGAAGTCTCTGTACAGACAGTGAGAGAAACACAGACACGCCCCTGTCTCATTGCAGCTACACTCATTATTTGAGATACTTCACGCCGCTTGGGGCTCAGCACCAGAGACAAACAGCACAAGCCCTGAAACAGAGCAACCCCCAGCAGGAGCAGCACCTCCTGCCAGTGCGGGCCCAGTGTCTCCTACTTCTACATTAGCCCTTCCAGCAGCACGTCCAGGCTCCAGTCTGTGGACACTCGGCCCCCTTGGTCTCTGAGCCCAGCCCTACGCGGCTGAGAAGGAGCTGGGGCCTCGAGCTGGATCTCAGTGCTCTATAGCCAGCTCAGTGGCCCCAAGTGCCCCCTGGATGGCACTAGTTCTCACTTGTCCCTACATAGCTGGCTTCTATCTTTGGGCTGGATCCACCGGTCCCTAAGTTCAGGCCTTGTCCCCAGAACTGGGCCATATTGTATGTCCTCCCGACCCAGCTGTCATCTCAACTGGGCAGCATCATTCACCTGAATGATCTCATCGGAATCAGGCTTTGTATGCCCTTGAGCAGAGCCACGCTGGGAGATTCCTTCCCCAGGCATGAAGAGGAGCCCAGGTGCCATCAGCAGCACCATTGTCAGCTTTGATTCACTTGATCTAAAGACATAGCAGCGGCCTGCCCAATGGTGGCCCTCCATTCAGGTTAGTGCACTTTCTTGTCTGTCCCCAAGTCTGTCCTACCCCAAAGCAAGTTCACATGGCTGTGCCTGCCCTCAGTGTCCCAAGAGTGATCTGGATGGGACTCTCCCTGGGTGCTGGTTTGCAAGAGAGTAGCAAAGTGACTTTGCTGACCAGGAGGCTTGTTATTTATTTATTTGTTTGTTTGTTTATTCTTTGGTACGGAGGATCAAACTCACGACCTCATGCTTGCCAGGCAGGCCACTGAGCTAAATCCCCAGGAGGCTTTTCATTGGGAGAGTGTTGGTACCTGTTTTCAACTGTTTGGGTACAAAAAAAATTAATAATGACCTTAGTCTTTGGAGATGAAGATTCTGTCCTAAAAGAATGGTTCCTGGCTGGACATAAGCTTGTTCGAGTATTCAAAAACTGGGAAATGGTGGGGGAGTTGTCCAGAATGGTCAAGAGTGGTCACTATCCCTGTGGAAATGTTTTATCTAGTCTCCATTACTGTTGGAATCTTTCTGCAAATTACCCCTGCATGGCTGGGTCTCCCCTGAGGTAATAGCCCCAAACCGGCTCTCATTATGGAGTCACAAGTTGTGAGGCTGCCATCCTTAAGAAGTGCACCCAAGCCTCCCTCCCACTGCCAAGTACACTCTAATCCCTGTGTTTACAGCTCTGCTCACAAAGTGCGCCTCTCTTCCCTGACCACACATTGGCCAGTGGCCCAAGGAACCCCTTGTGGCGGGTAAGGGCCTGGAGCATTGCCAGTAGCTATCTTGTAAAGTGGCCACTCAGATCCCTGCTCCGTTGAGCCCATTTTTCAGGTGAGTCTCCTTGTGCTGTACATACACACACACACACACACACACACACAAACACAAAGCCTAAAACAGGAAAATAAAATTCATGGAAGTCCCCAAACGAAATGAAAGTCTGGTGCAGGAGTTCAGCCTCTGGTCTAGTTAATTCTATAGGAGAAGGCCCTGGAGTCCAGCCTGTCACCTTCCCATAGCCAGGTCTTACCCCATATGATAGCACCTAAGATAAATCCCTAGGATATTCTGAGGCCAGACTTCCCTGAGCTGCGGTCAGCTCACTGCTTCAGGAGTCTTCGTGGTACCACCTGCACCTGTAGGGGGACTTCAGGCACCACCATCTTCCACAGGGAAGAACATTCCAAGTGGAGGACCTCCCACCCTGGTATCTACTTGTTCAGGTATTGTAGCGGCTCTCCTGTCCTACAGAGACTGGGTCCCCTCAGACTATACCCAAGAAAGAAAACCTTATGGTCTCAGAAATGCAGATTTAATGAGGCAAAATGATGCAAGGGCAGATGTCAGCTGACGCTGGGGAGACAGGTCCTTGCACTCGGGTGCTGTATGTAGGTCTGGGTTGAAAGAATTGCCCACAGTGCTGGCACAGGTGAAACCTGGAGTATGACTAGCCTCTAGGTGACAGGGTAGCATTAGTGCCTCAGGGGTCCTGGCCTCCTGGCTCAGCTTTTGGTTACTAAGGATACATGCTAAGATTTTCAGGGGTGGGCACATAGTATTTTTAGGGACAGTTTACTTTTTCAAATGTTGAGTAAAAAACTATGACAACAACTTATGTACACTAAATGAGCCACATAGCAAATTGCCCAAGGCTCAGTCCCTCATAGACCTAGATCAGGAGTTGGCAGATGTTTTCCATAAAGGGCCAGATAGAAAATGTTCCTGGCTTTGCAACTGTGCAGTCTGTAAGAGCCACTCAGCTCCACCATGTGATGAAACAGCAGTTACAGATGGCACCGGACATGCGAGCCTGACTAAACTTTATAGAACAAGGCAGCAGCCATAGTTTGCCAACCCTGTCCGTGCAAAGGGTGTGTGAGAGTCTGGGATACAGGGATCTTGCAAGCCCATTTCTTGTGACCTTTCTGTAGGTCTTAAAGTCCTCCAAAACTAAACTGTCCAGAAAGGGCTGGCCTAGGAAGCCAGGAGCCCTACATGCAGGAAGTGGACTGGAGCCACCAGTGGCAAAAGGCTGTTCAGAGCATGTTCACTGCTGTTTAAAGATAATGGTGTAGACACAGAGATCTGTGACATCCCAGAGTGCTCACACATACCCTAAGGGTATCTGAATTTGTTTTTTCTTTAACTGAATTATAGTATTGAGATAACTTCTTCCTATTACCAATAGGAAACATCTCTTTTAATGAGTACCTAATGATCCACTGATTAGAAAAGTTGGAGCCAATTTAACCATTCTTGTACCTGGACCCTTGGGATGTTGCTGATGTATGTTGTTGTAAATAATGCCACAATGAATGTTTTTTCAACAGTTAGGACTGATAGGACAAGCCCCAGACACGGAACACCACAATGCCACGTACCTGCCCTGTGTTGGGCTGCACAGACACCAGCGGCAGTGAGCAGACCGTGGGCGGCTCCATGGCCCTCCAGCAGCTGGTAGGTCGGTTCTTAGTTTTACCCATACATTGTGGGATAAGATATGTGTTTCAGTCTGATGTCCTTAATTGCTGGGGAGGAAATGGATGATGGAGAGCATAAGCCCTCCAGCCAGAAATCATCTACTTGACTTCTGCCTTGATAGCTGTGGGACCTTGAGCTGCCTTGTGCATCAGTTTCCTCACATGTAAGGTGGAGTGCTGACAGTGCTCAGTCCTGTAAGGTAACTGGGAATTTAGGAACTTCATATGTGATGGTCTCAATAAAGCACTGATTCATAAGGATGGTTTAACAAGTGCCAGCACAGTGGCACATGCCTGAAATCCCAGAACTCAGGAGGCTGAGGTAGGACGATCTCAGCCTGGGCTACTTAGTAAATTCAAGGCCAGCCTAAACTACATAGTGAGACCCTGTCTCAAAAACAATCAAACAAAAAGAGCAAAATCCAAATGCCAGGAGTTCTTTTTTTTTTTTTTCCTGTGCTGGGGATGAACCCAAGGGCTCCACCACTGAGCCACATTTTCTTAATGAAATTAAATACTGAATGCTTCTGGGAAAAGGCTGAAACAATTCAAATGTGTAAGCATGGAAAACAGCAAAAAATATTTTTTAATGCACCAGGAAATTAAAAACTTGTGTATACTCATGTATATATAGTTCATGGTTCTGAGACAAACTGCACAACTAGCCAGGTGTGGCAGCACATGCCAGTCTTCTCAGCTCTTGGGCAGCTGAGGCAGGAGGATCACCACAAGTTAGAGGCCAGCCTGGGCTACATAGTAAAGTCAAAGCCAGCATGAACTACAAAGCAAGACAGTGTTAGTTACTTTTCTGTCCTTGCTGAGACAAAATACCCAACACTCAAAATTAAGGAGCAAAAGATTTATTTAGCTCACAGTCCATAATCAGCTGACTCCAAGGCAGGGTGGCATCCCACAGGATCAATAGTTCAAGGTGCAAAAGACTGCAAATGCAACAAGAGCAAGGAGCAGGGCCAGAGGAGCAAGCCTCTTTTCCTCCATTATATTGTATTCAGGTGGTCTACCCACTCCGTCTCCCTCTCTTACACAAGATGAGGATGTTTACAAAGTACGCACCCTACCTCCCTACTGCTTCACTTAGTTAAACTTCTAAACTTCTCAAGTTGACACAATGTATCAACCATTGCAATTCAACCCTTGTCAACTTGACAGGCTCATTTCTTTAAACCCCTTTCCAGATACAAAGACATGCTTATTCTTAACATTTTACAGCTTGAGCAGTATGACACAGGTTTAGCAGTCCTTAAGAACCAGTAGTAAGTCTATCAACTTATTACATTAGAACCATAACGCTTTGTCCCTGGCCCTCTGAAAACTCATGTACAGTCCACTATGCAAAAGTCCCATCTGCAAGAGTTGCCAAAGTCCTAACAGTTTCAACATTGCTGAAAAGTCTTAAATTCCAAATCTTCGCCCAAGATGTAAAGCAAACTGTTAGTTGCAACTCCCTCTACAAATGAAAAATTAGATACTTCCAACTGGCACAAAATAAACATTTTCATTCCAAAAGTTACAAACAGGATACAAAGGAGTAGAACCAAATCAAGTCCAAAATCTAGGAGGGCAAACATTAAGTCTTGTAGTTCCATGTCCAGCATCTGAAGCGATCTGTGGCAAATTGTGAGCTCCAAAGGGCTTGAGTGACTCCACTCCTATGGCACTTCTGATGGTTACAGCTTCCATGGCTTCTCTCTTATGCTCACTTTGCCCCCACCTTACAGCTTTCCTTAGGTGATCCATATTTCTTGGTTTTTGAAACTTTTGGGGTCTGCACTGCACATTCAATTTAAGCTCACAGCTTCACACACTGTCCTGTCAGGTACACACTGCCTGGCTTTCTGAAATCATGGTGGAAGCCTTATTAACCTTAGAACTCTTGCATTCTGCATGTACCTAAAACCAGCACCACCTGGATGATGCTAAGGTCTGTTGACAGCTGGAGCAGTAGCCAGGCTTTCTTCTCTCTTAGTAATAGGGGTTGAATTCCTGGATTACTGGGCACTCTGAATCCAATTCTGAGGAACAAATTCTCTATGCTGCCACCATTCTACAGTACAGTGCTTTGTGGCTTTCTCCTCAAAGCAAAGTCTTTCACTTTTGTAGTTTTAAGGGTGTAGACTTGCTGCTTCTTGTGATGCTCTTCTTTCAAGTTGATATAATGTATCAACTACAAAGCAATAACCTATCTGGAAAGCAAAACACATCTAGAATCAGCCTGCTGTCTCTTGCTGTAACCCTTTGGGTGCCGAGTGGCTCATTTCCCATTTTTCTCAAGGTCATCATGATGTCACAGCACTAACACCATGTCTTTGGTGTTTTGTTATTTAAATGAAACATTCCTGGAAAAAGAAAACCTGAATGACCTGAGTCAAGCATAATGAAAACAAAGCATAATGGAAGTTTTCAGGAGCTCCCAGTAGTGCTACCACTCACCAGAACTGCTGGGTCAGCAGAGGCCAAAGGAACTGATAGTCTGTGTGCTTGGTCACTGCAGAAGAGCCCCAAGCCAGCATGTTGAGACACTTGTAAACAGCAGAGTAAGTCCAGACTAGAAAGGAGGAATGAATATAGCCAATGGGAATAGAAGCCATTAATAGGATAAAAATCTAAAAAGACTTTGAAAGGGCTTTTAAAATGGACATCCCTGGCCAAACAATGGAGGAAAAGAAAAAAACAAAGCAACAGGAGTGAGAAGGGAGGGAAAGTAACTCAAAGAGGAATGGCCTAGAGAGCCCCAGGACCGTATGAATCCTTACAGTGGACAGTTTAGCCTTTCTAAAAAACATCAAGTCTTGTCTTTCCGCTGTAGCCCAGGTTCAGTGCTGTCAAAATGGGCAGGTACATGAAACTGGGGAAAGTGGTGCTAGTCCTGGCCAGAGGCTACACCAGTCGCAAAACATCGATGACAGCACCTCCGACCACTCTTACAGCCATGCCCTGGTGGGCATAATTGACCACTACCCCTGCAAAGTGACGGCCACCATGGGGAAGAGAAAGATCGCCAAGAGGTAGAAAATCAGGTCCTTCATGAAGGACTATAACTACAGTCACCTCATGCCCACCAGGTACTCCATGGACGTCTCCTTGGACAAGATTGTGGTCAACAAGGACATCTTCAGGGCTGGGGATTTAGCTCAGCAGCATAAGCGCCTGCCTTGAAAGCAGGCAGTCGTGAGTTCGATCCCCGGTACCAATAAAAAAGGAAAAAGACAAAAAAAAAAAAAAAAAAAACCAAGGACATCTTCAGAGACCCGGCCCTCAAGCACAAGGCCCGCCAGGAGGCAAAGGTCAAGTTCACGGAGAGGTATAAGATGGGCAAGAACAAGTGATTCTTCCAGAAGCTTTGGTTTTAGATGTTTTTTTTTCCATTATTAAAAATTTTTTAAAAATAAAAAAACACCAAGTGTAGACAAATACAATCTGTTCGAGAAACAGCTGCTCCAGTGATATGTGGGCTGGTAACCCAGAGAGAGGAGAACACAAGACACATCCCCTTATTTTAGAGAGCAAGTATAATTTTGAAATCCAAATTATAACTCATGCACGTAGATGCAAAAGTCCTAAACAAAACACCAGCAAACCATATTCAGTGGAACATAATAAAAACAATGCAACTAAACAAATTAGACTGATTTAGGAAGCCATGTTTGGCCCCAGATTGATCAAGCTTGCCACATTAATACACTACTGGGGATATAGCTAAGCAGCACAAGCACCAGGCTGGCAAGTGCAAGGCCCTGCATTTGATTCCTGGAACAAAAAAAAAAAAAAAAATCACTACAAGGGGAAAGGAACACCTTACTGTTTCAGTAACTGCAGATAACACGTTAGCTAAAATCAGCATTGTCTTGGCGGCTCTAGCCAGTGCAGTGAAACAGGATTAAGATATGTAAGCTTAGAGTGGAAAACCCTAATCATCATGATTAGGAGATGTTACTAAGCAGGAATCTAAAAATCACAAACTATTGAAACTATTACACAGTTGATAAGGTTGTCACATAGATTAATGTACAAAAGTCATTTGAGACTTATAATCTAAGTGGATCAGAAGCCGAGACTCAACCAGAGACCTGTGCATGGATGTTGCCAGCAGCACTGTTCAGTGATGATAAAGTAGATGAGTGGACACACAGAATGCAGAAGATACACAAGAACATGCCACTGGGCCATAAGGGGGAAATTTTGATTCATGGATAAACCATGAAAACATGATTCTTAATGAAATGAGCCAAACACAGGACAAATGCTGTGAATCCACTTATGTGTAGGACCCTGAGAGGAGTCCAATGTGTGAAGAGAAAAGGTAGGATAGTGGCAAACACCTGTAACCCCAGCCACTTGAGGGGCTGAGGCAGGAAGACTTCAAGTTCAAAGCCTGCTTACGTAGCAGAATCGTATCTCAAGGTGATGAGGATGAAGTTTGTCAATGGAGCACTTGCCTAGCATGAACAAGGCCCTTAGTTCAGTCCCCAGTACTGCATGAATGAATGAATGAGTGAATGACATTTAAAATACAAAGAAGCCAGGGATATAACTCAGTGGCAAAAGCACCTGCCTAGAAAGCTCTATTCCCAATACCAAAAAAATAAAAACAAAAAAGTTGATGATTTTTTCTTTGAGACATAGACTCATTATATAGTTCAGGCTGGCCTTGAATTCACTATGGACCCTACGCTGGCCTCAAATTCAAAGCAGTCCTTCTACCTCCATCTCCCGAATGCTGGGATTACAGGTATGCACCACCACACTGGATAAAACCTTGATGATTTTTGTCATACTAAAATTCACAGCTTCTAGGAAAAGAAAGGGATGCAAAAAGGATTAAGATATATGATGTACATTACCAGCCTTCCAAAATGAATATAATTATCATGTCCTACAAACATGTATCCTCTTAATAAAAATTTTAAAACCCTCATGAATGAGATTAGTATTCTTACAAAGGAGACTTAAAATAAAAATTTTAAAAATCATAACTTTGGGCAGGGGATTTAGCTCAGCGGCACAAGTGCCTGCCTGGCAAGCATGAGGTCATGAGTTCGTTCCCCAGTACCAATAAAAAAAATTTTTAAACAATAAATAAAAATCTTTAAAAATCATAACTTCTGCCTTTTTTTTTTTTTTTTTTTTTCGGTATCAGGGGTCGAACTCACCACCTTATACTTGCCAGGCAGGCACTTACACCACTGAGCTAAATCCCCAGCCCGTCTTTTTTTTTTTTTTTTAAACCAGTGATTGAACTCATGCAGGCACTTTGCCACTGTGCTATAATCCCAGGTCCCAAAATTACTTTTTCTTTTATTTTCTTTCTTTTTTTTCAGAATTGCTTTTTTAAAAATCTCTGAACACACACAATGACTTTAGACTCCCTACTTGTGCATAGCCAATCTCCTGAAAGGTTCTGTAATCCCCAACTCCCTTCCTTTCCTAAGAGGACTTGGAGATGGCAGTACCACATGCCAGAGGAAGGATATGAGAACCAAAGTGACCTGTGGAAGCCCAAGACCTCTTTATGAGGTGAATAAGCAGCAGGCACCTGCTGTCCTGAGACCAGCTAGGGGCTGTCGATCTTCACACCAGGGTGTTTATCCTCACCACCATAGCAGCAAGTGCCTGGTATTCCCCATGCGAACCACCTAAAGGAATCCACTGCATTTACTGTTGTTGCTGTTGTTGTTTTATTTTTTGCAATACTGGGGATTGACTCCAGTGCTCTACTACTAAGCTATATCCCCAGCCATCAGCCTCTGCCTTTGTGCTACTGGGAATTGAGCCCAGGGCCTCTGCACTAACCTACATCTTCATCTTTTTTTTTTTTGAGACAAGGCCTTAAGTTGCCCAGGCTGGGCTTGAGCTTGCAGTCCTCCTGCCTCAACTCGCCAGAGTACTGGAATCCACCACCTTTTTATTCCAAGACAAGGTCTCAATAATTTGTCTACATTGACCTGTCTTTTGCAGTCCTCTGTCTTAGCCACCTAAGTAGCTGGGATTACACGCATCCACTACTGCACACCAATAGAAATTGTTTTTGGGTTTTTTTTTAAAGAGAAATACTAAAAGAAAAGCTCAGAAAATATGTATGGCTTATAAGTGCATGAAAAGATGTTCAATCTCACTAGTAATTAAGAATACAAGTTCAAATAATAAGATGGAATTTTTTGACTGAGGCCATGGTGACATGGACAAGTCTGACCCCTCTACACAGGGAAGAAGCTGAGCTGTGAAGCTGTACCCTGGTTAAACAGTCCACACTGGTAAAACAGTCTGGTGCTCTACAACAAGTCAAAGATCTGATTTCCTGTTAAACCAGAAGCTTCATTTATGGATTCACGCTCAAGGAACTGTGATATCCGCACCAAAGAGTTGTGCACCTGGTGTGCTGCTGTGTCAGGGAATATGAAGGAACCCAAGTGTCCATCAAGGTTCAGTGGTTAGTCACAGCCTGTGGACAAAGGGACAGTGACTCAGCAAGGGCAAGAAAGCAGCCACCACAAGCACCAACATACAGGACCTTGTGCAGAGAAGACATGCAGTGGGGTTTTAACCACTGTAAAGTTCAAAACAAGCAGATGGAGCAGTGTGCTGTTGGAACACATACATGGTAAAGCTAGAGAAAAGCAAAAGAGCCCGTGTGGCAGAATGAGAGCAGGGGGTATGAGCTCCCAGCTGGGTTGGTGCTGGGGTCAGCTCTGCTGTGGTCATCTTCTACAAGGTCAGGAGTGTTTGATGCAGCTCCTGTCTTCAAGTTTTAGAAGTAGCACATGTTTCATGTGAGTACTAACTGGGCCCTCACTTCCACCTCTGTATTCCTGACAGCACTCCGTGGCTAGCATCACTGGTGGAACCAGCTTCCACTTGGCTGAGGCCATTTGCTTTCTTTCGTCTAACAAAGGAATGGGCACCTATGCCCACTGACTCTGTTTCTCTTTCTTTTTTTTTTTTTTTAATTTTATTTAAGGAGAAAAAGCAAAAAAAAAGGGGGGGTACAAGTCATATAGAATTTTAGAAAGAATAAACAGTAGAGAATCACTAGTTAATAGATTACATATTGTTATCTTAGAAATAGTTGTTCAAGTTACAACTCTGTTTCTCTTTCTTTCTAGACTGCTAGAGTGGATCACCCCAACAAGAAGCTCCGGCAAGACATGCATACAAAGGAACCTTAAAAGCAATGGGAAAAACATCCATGCTCATGAATTAAAGAAAGAGGCAGAGAGGACCATGTGCAGCACCTTTGGCAGAGGAAGCAGCAGGGAAGCTGCTGGGAACCTGCACCCTTAATAGCTATCATTGTGGGGTCAGCTTGGTGGCAGGGCGCAGTGAGGGGAGGGAGGCCTTCAGGTACAGAGGGACAACTACAGGGCCCTTTCTCTGGTTCCCAAACCAATTGTTCCTGACTGCCCAGCAGTCCTCACTATCAGCTGGTGCCACTGAAGAGCCCCCAGCATTAACTTCTGACTTAAGTAAAGCCACCGTGGAGAGGCAGTTAAGAGTGTCCACAACCTCCTGGTTATCTGAGATGCGTCTGAGGGGAAACCTGAGCCACCCTCAGCCAAGTATCAGAGTTCTTGTTGTAGGAAATGTTTAACCAAAGCTAGAAACTTCCTAGGAGTATGCGGTGTCTGCAGTGGCCAGGGCCTCTCACCTGGGCAACACATGCCCAATCAGATGTCAAGCAGGCATTGTCCCCAAGGCATCACCCTACAGGAAGAGCACTGGCCAGCAGGGCTCCACTCAAGCATCACTTGCAGAGAGCCTCAGCCAAATATTGGGTGCTCCTCAAAACAAGTGCTTTGTGACCCTCACTTGCATCTGTCCCTGAGGCTCATCCCAGCTGGGCAAGAAGGCATAAACCATCTCTGAGGGGATGCAGGAGGTGAGCATGTTGGAGAGGGGCACTCTTTCTCAAGGGACCAACATCTCAGGGACACAAGCCCAGCTCCACAGTGGCAAGGCCCTCACCTGCCCTCTTATGTCTTCTTCTGCACAGAGGGACAGGACTGACCAGTGGCTTGGACTTGACCCTGACTGGGTCCACTTGTTTCCTAGCAGGTGTGACCCCAGGGTGTACCTGAGCTTCATTTCTAATGACCTCGTCAATCCCTCCCAATTTGGGCACCAAGATTAACGTTCCTTTTGTGCTAAGACACCAAGACACTCTGCAGAGGAAGGCAGGCCTGAAGGAGGGCGGGCCTTCTGGCTCAAGGTGCACATGATTGGTGGCTTCTGGGGAGACTCACAGGAGGATGGGGTGCACTTCCAGAGGTAATATGGACAAGGAGCTGGGCCCTGTGCCATAGGTCAGCTATAGGCTGGGACACTGCACTGCTCTGGGCATCAGCCTGAGCCTTCTAGAACCTGTTGTCTTAGAAGCTTGTTCATTCTTTCCTGATTTCCTCCTTACTCACCAGCTGCATGGTCAGTGCACTGAGGACAAGCAGATTTTCATCACCTTCACCAAACCTTGCTGTAGTGACACCCAGGTTGGCAGTGTTGCACTGCACCTCCAGGGAAGGGGCTCTAGGCCCAGCTGCCTTGTCAAGGTAGGTGGTATCTCCATCCTCTTCATGTTTCTGTGGTTCTAACTCCTCCTCCAGCTGAACCACTGGCTATCCTTACAGCATATCATTGGACATGTGTCTTGCCCTTATTATGAACTTCAGTGACTGGTGCATTGTGAACAATCTTTGACAGCCATGGTTGGTCTCTTGTGTTGTATCAGATATTTCCCTAGTGTGATGCTTCCCGGTTACATTGTCCAAAAACCTAACTTTCCAATTGGCCAAAGTTGTTAAACTTTACTCACATATAATATCTTTAGACTTTAGTAGTGTCAACACTGGGACATTCCATTTACCTTTGACTTCAGTCTCCTGTGGGTTGCTGTACAGTGCTTGAAGTGATGCCCAGAACTCATTAGCAGACACTGCCTGTTCCTCTCACTTATGGATGTCTATTTTCTCAAAGTAAAAGTCTGTTTCTAACCCATTTCCTGTGTTCCTCTGAGCGCCTCAGTCTGAGGGTACACTCATGACTCTTCCAAGGAGGCTGCCAGCTTCCTCCCCCGGACAATATGGGCACATCTTTCTCTCCAGTGAGTGTCTCAGGATGTTCCACTAACCAAACTCACACCCCTTTTCCAGTGACAAAATATTCACTGCTTTCCTAACCCCAGGGACCTTAAGTTGGAGCCAGACCTGTTGATTCATGCCTGCAGTCAGGGTCCTGAGGGAGGCCTTCAGACCCTGCGCTCAATCTTGCCCAGGCCTCTGTGCCTTCACTTTTTTTTTTTTTTTTTTTTTTTTGCTCTTGTTTTGTGGTGTATGTTTGCATGTGTGTGCATGTGTGTGTGAGACAGAGAGAGACTCACTACATAGCGTAGGCTGGCCTCAAGCTCATGGCAATTCTCGTGCCTCAGCCTCCAGAATGCCGGATTACAGGCATGCACCTACACTCCCAGCTACCCTTCATGTTCTTCCTTCACAGGAAGCAGTCCTGCCCCCTAGAGAACACTTGGCAGTGTGCAGGGATAACATTATCACAACTAGTGGGACTCAGGGGTCGGGCCAGGAATGCAGCCAAACATCCTACAACACACAGACAGACCTGACAGCAAACAAACAAGCTCCAAAGTCGGTGCTGCCACTGGTAAGTGATGCTGAGGTAGACCTGGAAAATTAAGTCAGCGACTGAAACATGATTCACAGGCACAGAGAGCAGCATGAGAAACTTCTGAGATTTTAGAAGGTAAGCCATCTGCAAGTTTCTATGCTCTCTAATCCGTATTTTGCCTTTTTTCTAATCCCAATTCTCCACAGCCCTAACACTAGTTTTTAAATATATATATCTGGGGCTAGGGATTTAGCTTAACGGCATAAGCACCTGCCTTGCAAGTGTGTGGTCATGAGTTCGATCCCTGGTACTGATAAAAAAGAAAAAGACAAAAAAAAAAAAATTATATATATATATATATATATATATATATCCATCCACTAGGAGGCTAAGGCAAGAGGAGCACTTGAGCTCATGAGTCCAAGGCCAGCTGGGCAACATAACAAGACCCTGCTTCAAAAAAACAGGGACAGGGTATGGCTGGGTGGTAGAACACTTAACCGAGCAAGCTCAAGCCCCAGCACCCATTCTCCCAAAAAAGCACCTCTGAGCTACACAGATGTTCTAATTGCAACAAAAGGCCCAGCAGTGCGGCTCAGTGGCAGGGCGCTTGTCTAGAATGTGTAGATCCTGCCTTCAAACTCCCAGCCCTGAAAAAACAAAAGGACTCAGCTTTTTTTCTTCCATATCTAGAGAGAACAAGTGACAAGGATTGGGATGGGGGACTTATTTGTTTGTTTGCTTTGTAGTTCAGACTCACTATGTCACCAACGCTAGCCTTAAACTAATTATGTAGCTCAGGCTGACCTCCAACTCATGGCAATCCTCCTGCTTCAGCCTCCCAAGTGCTGGAATTACAGGCATGTGCCACCACACCTGGAAGGAGAGTTTTTTATAAATTACAAATGAGAAAATTACAGATGAGTTCTTTCTTGACATATCCTTTGTATATTCTTAGAATTTCTTACACAACTGTAATTCCAGCACTTGGGATGCTGAAACAGAAAGACAGCCACAAGTTAAAGCCAGCCTAGGCTACATAGTGAGACCCTGTCTCTAAACAAATAAAAAAACAGAATCTGAACGAGACAGTCATGAGCTGAATGGGATTCAGGGCCACCAGTTTTTAAGCCTTTAGTTACAGAAACTTTATAGTCCTGGTGAATATCCAAGAAAAATCCTCAGTCCTCTATAAAATGTTTTCCAACTCCATTAAATACAAAACGTACTGAAATGACTCAAAAAAAAAAAAAAAAAAAAGGAAAGAAAAGAAAAAGAAAAACACTGTCCCTGACTTGTGCTAGGTTTGGCAGCACATACACAAAACTCTCCCTGATTTGGCTTCTTCGCACCCTCCCTCACCCCCAAAGCCTCCTAGTAGCTGGGCCCAGCCCTCCAGATGCCCCACTTAGCAGTAATGCTAGAGTTTGGGAACAGGTTCTCCAGGATACAACCTCCATCCTGGAAAGCCGAGGTTTAGGAGCCCCTATAACCCTTAGGACCTCCCAGCAGATTTAGGAAACCCACCGCCCTTTGCGTTAGTGCCTGGTAACTACTTGGTGTATGCACAGATTTCCCTTACTCCTCGAGACAGACCTCGGGTTTGTGGTCCACTGAGTCCAGGAGCCCCAGCCCTAAGAGCACAGGAGGAGCTGCACCGGCTTCCACTTGCGCAGCTCTCCTTTGATGGATACTCAGCAAACCAGCAGCATCCCGACCCGAGGCTCCTCCGGGGCTCCAGGCTAACCCAGACACTTGTGCTGTGTTCACTTCTATTTGCCAACTCCAAAGCTAGCCCAGTATCCAGCTGGAGCCCGCACAGGCTTCGCGGGGCATTAAAGAGCAGCAGCCAGAGAAAGGGATAACCAACGACACAGCCTCGGTGTGACTAGCAGAGACTGCAGAGGATGGAATCTACAGCTCGCTCTCCCGCACTGGAACCCCGATCCATGTGAGGATCCTATTTTGTCCCAAGTTGATTGGGCGTCAGAAATCTACTGACCCGCACGGACTCTGAGCGGCACTCTCCTGCCGCAGACCTGAAAGGTCTCGGAGAGAAGAGACCCCGCCCGAACTGACTCAGCTCCCTCAAGAAGGTACCGCAACCGGACCGGCTCGGCGCACGCGAGCCTGTAAGCCTCAGGTGTGGCGGAGGCCAGCGAGGCACCGCAGTCGGGCGCCCAGAGCGTCCCGGAAGCGCGCGAGGCTGGGCGGGCCCGGGGGCGGGGCACTTCCGCTCGGCGCGCGGGCGGCCACCTCCCGCTCTGCAGGTGAGTGGGTGCAGCCTCTTCCCGGGCAGCGCTGTGCCCCGCGATGCATCCCGGCTGGCCGGTGGGGCACAACTTGATGCCGTTGCTTTGGACGACCCGGCGTTCGCGGTGTCTCTGTGGGGCGCCTCGCGGGGGGGTCGCAGCAATTCCCCTCCCGTGGGACTGAGACAGGCCGGAGGCACACTGGCGAGCAGACCCCGAGATAGGGCCTCAGGTGGCGCCCCCGCCGAACAGTGCAGGCTGGGCGGGCGCGCGTGGACCCTGGGCCTGTGCTGGGCCTGCCAGGTGCCGCCACTGCTTCGTGGCTTCGGTTTAAGGACATACGTCCAGTGCCGCGCCCTCAGCTTGTGGTCGCTGGACCTGGATCCGAGGCGCCACCCTGAGCCGCCTCTCCTACCTCTTCGGAGCTGTGGCCGTTCATTACCTGCTGCTCCGTATACCACAGTGTGAAAGAAAACCCGCTTCTCACACTGGACTCAAGCTGTTTTTGCAAAACAAATTAAGGAAAAGTACCTTTGACCCCCAAATTAGGTTCAGGGTGCTGTGAATAGACCAGAATTGGGGCTCACACCTCGAAGCCTCCGGCTCTGCAGGAACTGAGAAAGAGTGCTCTCCCCTCTGTAAATGTGCCTCCCCGGTGCAGGAAAACCTCATTAAGATCAAATCTAGAACTTTATGCTCCAGCTGGCATAGTTTAGCATTTTTCCCTCCCCCAGACCCAGGAGGGCCCAGGTGTGACACAGGTTTTTCTGAAACATTGTCATGCTTTTATCTGTGGGTGAGGCCATGGATTGGAAGGACATTTGGGATCCTTTGTTGACAAACTAAATCGGTGTCAGTAAACGTGCCAGGTCTTGGAATCATTTCCCATATCTGTGTGAGCCCATACTTCCTCATGGATGCACCGGCACTTAACCCCTTCCACCTTAGGAAGAGCTTTCTGGTGCCTAGAGCTGCTGGGCAACTGGGGTGTTGTCCCCTCCCCCATCTGCACCCTTCATCTGGTTTTCATTTTCCCCAGGTCCCGAGTGCATACACCTTCAGCAGGTGTTGGGATGATGGCAGCCCTAGGGGACATTGAGGAGTCCCCACCTGTCCCATTCCCCACCAGTCTCTTATCACCCGGAGCACCTGGAGCCCAGCACCACGAAGCACAGCTTCATCTCCATAGGCATCCACACGGTACTTGCCTGGCCCACTGTGCCTCCTTTACCCTGTCTGCACCTGGTGGATCCCTGTGTGATACATAGCCCCAGTCTACCTTAGAGGCATCACCAGACACTTGTGAAGTTCATTAGATGCTGGAGCCTCTGGCCAGAGCCCTAAGAATCCTGGGCCCAGGTCTCCATGGTTGGTGGGGAAGGAGTGGCAAGTCTTCCTAGGAGGTAGCCCCCTGGACTGTCCTACCTGGGGGGTGGAAGGAAGAGTGGCCCTGTATAACCAGGAATGAGCCCTCCTGGCCAGGAAGAGTTGCATTCTTACCAGGCTGGTTTAGGTGTGGTCCCAAGGAACCCACATCGACTGGCTGTGCTCTACCCTGATGGTGGCTTGGGAGAATCAAGGCTTGGGGGAAGTACTAATACCTCCAGTGCCTCTGGGGTCCCTGGCTCTCAGAAGTCAGGGAGGCTTTGTTCCTTTGTCACTTAGCCTTGCTGATTTCATGAGCTGGTGACATCAAGGATAGGGTCCCAGTAGGACATGTCCTAGCAGCCTGCACTGCTCTTCTAGTTAGCACTTTGACCAGGAGCTGGGCCTGCCCTGTGTCAGATCCTGGAATTCCTGTACTTGAGATAGCAGCCGCTGGAATTATGAAGAGTGGCTACCCTATGTGGCAGGCTCTGTGTATTGACCTTCTTGGCCTTCAAGCCCAGTGACAGCTTTTCACCTGGACATCACAGATAAGAACAGAGAGGTTATACACAGCTAGAAAATCACTGGGTTTATCATAGTCAGATCAAAACCAGGAGAAAAGCCCCAAGCCTGTCTGCTCCCTGGCTGCAAGAACCGTCACTCCTACCGATCCCAGAGAAAGCTGTGAAGGAGCTTCTTGAAGTAGCCCAATAGAGCTAAGGGGGGTCCGGCTAAGTGATAGGTTAGAAGAAGCCAGACACCACCTGAGTTTCATTGTCTGCTGAGTCCTGTGTAGGGCTGCCCTTACCACATCTGTCTCTTCTCTACAGTGGCTTCTGGATCTCCTCGGGCACCTCAACCTGTGCCCCCGAGGCTTGTTCCCCTGCCCTTAGTCAGAATTCTGCTGCACAGTGCCCTCTTACGTCACCCTCACAGTGACCTGATGAGATAGGTCTCTCTGTCCTGCTGGCAACAGGAACATGAAGGGGCAAGAGTAGAGTCTGAGGTGGGGGGTGTGGTTGATGGTTAGGGCGATTGTAGCCAAGGCCTGGAGGAACCCTAACCCAGATAGGTAGTCAACCTCTGCTGATTACTGGTCAACAAGGACAGGGTGTCTACTTGGAGCCCTGAGCTCACCTCTGCAAGCTGGTTCCTTAGCAGAGAAAACTCCCAGCATTTCTGGAACTTTCCCAGAGCCCCCCCCCCCCTCAGTTGGGAGCCAACACAGGACTTTCTGGAGCCCCAGCCTCTCTGTTCCCAGGCCAAAGTCTGATGGCCAGAAGGAGGATCTGGGGAGGCCCACCCAGGGTACCTGTGCATGTCTAGGCAATCTGCAGAGTCTGCCATCCATACACACACACACACAGACACACACACACAAACACTGTCACTTTAGGAGCCTCTTCAGCTGGGCATCTGGTGTCCTTGGAGGAACTGTCTATCAGCTGGGAGTGGGGAGTAAGGACACAGGGAGTTAAACGAGCTAAGGGTACTCAGCCTGTGGTCTTGATACTGGTGTCCTACAGCAAATCCTGGACCTCTCAGAACAGGGAGGCCTGGTATGTACACCCCTCTTCTTGCAGGGACTATATCCTGTTTGCCCCTGACACAAATCAGAAGCCATAGTTAGCCATGAAGTGCTGAAGGTCTGGAATAGCTCCTCTGGGCCTATGTTGCACTTTGACATGGGGCAGTGGAGGACAGCAGGGCCCATAGACCAAGTCTCAGGGTAGTTGCAGGATCATAGGCAATGTGAAGGATAATGAGGTAGAAAGGAGGCCAGACCAGAAACTTATCAAGATAACAGCCAACACAGTGAGCAGAGGACCTGCCTGACTGCCTAGTCCTTACAGACCTGAGGAAAGAAAGACTCTCAAAGCCAGGTCCTCAGCAGGGCTTCCTGGAGGCAGCTTTTGATACAAAGCAGGGAGGAAAATAAAAGGTGCTCCTAGCCAAGGAGGCCAGAACAGCAGGACCAAGCAGAGCTAAACTCCTGTTCTGGAGCAACGGAAGGTGTCAGACAAGTAAGGAGGTATGCTGTGTGTTGAGGGCTTCTGTGGAAGAGCTGAACTGGTTCTAGAGAAGAGAGGAGAGGTTGGGGGTACTCTGAAGGATGGCGCATGAGGCACAGTCCCCTGTCCCCAGGGTCCCCTTATTCGAGCCCTGATGTGTGCCCCCAGCCATCTGACCTGGACCTCCAAGATATGGAAGAAATGGAGATCGGCAGAGACACGTGGCCTGGTAAGTGAACTGGGCCTATCCAGGCACCTCCAGAACTGCTTAGGACCAGGCTGTGGATACTCACAGGGACTGGTTGGGGCCTGCAGACTGCAGAACACCCCGAGTGTTACCCAGGCCTCTTCTGGCTGCAGTGCACACCTGTTCCCAGGAGGGCCCAAATGGGCAAGGGAGTGGGGCTATAGTACCATTGCCATCAAGGCCAAATCCATGGAGCTCTGGAGCAGGTACAGGCCCCTGGGCTCCCTCCCCAGCCCCCTCAGCCTGCAGGACCACATTTGAGAGCCTTTGAAATTCCAGAGCCTTGCCACCCTCAATGTCAACCTGGAGCTTCCTCTTCCAAATGAGAAGGTAACACCACAGGTCTCCTTAACTACTGTCTCCAGTCCCCATGAGACCTAGCATATAGGCTCAGGCTGCCAGCTGATAAGGGGGGTTGCTCCCTACCTTGTGGGGCCATTCATCCCAGCCATTGCCTTCATCCACCCCTCTTCTTCCCAAGTCCCCAGTCAGGCTTGGCCCCTGCTATCGCATAGTCCCAGTCCCTAGAGTGCCACGGTAGAACTGGGGGCAGGGTGCCATCTGCCTCTGCCGTTTCTCCTTTCAGACTCTGAGTTGGAGCCTGAGCAGGCTCCATCCTCTCACCACCTGCACAGCCCAGAAGATGCAGATGGCGAAGTGCTCAGGGGCCTCCTGAGGAGCCACCCTCATAGGCCCAATTGTGGGAGCAGCTTTGGGCAGGATCTCAGCTTGGAGCCCACAAGGACCCTGCCTTGCCCTCGGCAGAAAGGCACCTGCCATGTGGTGCTCCTTTCACAGGGAGCCCCAGGGACTAAGGGTGCACCTGGCCGGGCTGCAGAAGTGGGGAACAGCTTGGGCCATAGTCCCCAACAGTTCGTCTCACGGGTCGCCAAACCACATTGCTGCGAAGCCTGTGGCAAGAGCTTCAAGTACAACTCATTGCTGCTGAAGCACCAGCGCATCCACACAGGTGAGAAGCCCTATGCCTGCCATGAGTGTGGCAAGCGTTTCCGAGGCTGGTCTGGGTTCATCCAGCACCACCGGATCCACACGGGTGAGAAACCCTACGAATGCGGCCAGTGTGGCCGTGCCTTCAGCCACAGCTCGCACTTTACACAGCACCTGCGCGTCCACAATGGGGAAAAGCCCTACAAGTGTGGTGAGTGTGGCCAGGCTTTCAGCCAGAGCTCCAACCTGGTCCGCCACCAGCGGCTGCACACGGGTGAGAAGCCGTATACCTGCAGCCAGTGCGGCAAAGCCTTCATCTGGAGCTCCGTGCTCATTGAACACCAGCGCATCCACACAGGCGAGAAGCCCTATGAGTGTGCTCACTGCGGCAAGGCTTTCCGAGGCCGCTCCCACTTCTTCCGCCACTTGCGGACTCACACGGGCGAGAAGCCCTTCACCTGTGGAGCCTGCGGCAAGGCCTTTGGCCAGAGTTCACAGCTCATCCAGCACCAGCGCGTGCATTACCTCGAGTAGCCATGGCCCCAGTAAAATCTTTGGATGGAAAAGGAGCCAGCTCCTGGTGAGCCAGGCTGCTGCTTCCCATCCCTGAAGGCCACTGCAGGATGACTTTTTAGTGTCCGGGGGTGGCAGGTAACTGGAGGAGCCTAAGGCCAGGAGCAGTGCTGGCAGCCCAGAGTAGTCAGGCCTGCCCAGGTTGAAGATGCTGCAGTACAGAGATCTCTCAAGGGGGCCTCCTGGAGCAGTGGGCGAGGATGGGGCTGGCTTGCCTGGAGATGCCAACATTCTTCTGGGCTTCAGCCTAACCAGACTTCCTGTCCACCTGGGTCATGGGGATCTCCAAGAATTGAGCTCCCTCATTCAGCTGCCTATTACTGCCTAAGTACAGCCTAAGTACACTGTCCCCCGACGGGTCCCTCCTCAGACCTGTTTGCTCTCTCACCCCTGCATTTGCATGCAGCAAGAAGGCTTCTAGCAGATCCCTGCCCCTGCTATGGAAAGCTGGGGGCTTGGGTCCAGGACTTCATATGGGTCACAGCTCTAACTTGCCATAGATCTACCTTGGGAATCTACAGATAGTTCTGGCTCTCAGTCCCTGTGCAGGGAAGAGCTCACCTGAGTGGGGAAAGGGTGTTAAGTAATGAAGAGCATCACAACACCCTCAGTGTTGTGCTTTTCTCTCCAGGTCAGCTGGAGGGCTGCCCAGCTGCTCTCCAGGTCTCACCTCCCCTCTCCTGTGGAGGGCTGTGAGGTTACTAATCCTGCTAAAACAAGAGGTCCTCTTTGCAGCAGGGTTATCAGCCCCAAGCAGGCTGTTTTACAGAGAAACAGCTGCTGCTCACCTGCTATTTCTTTAGTAATGCACTTGGGGCAGACTGTGAGGACACCCATTGGGCACCTGGGCAGGACTCTGTTGGCAGTGACTGGAGAGAACCAGAGAGGCAGGTGACCTGAGAGAACCAGAGGTGCTCAGTACACTCCAGACTGTCCTGGAAGTGGCCCTTGAACCTCCTGCTAAGGTAGGCAGGTTACACTGGTGCTGCTTTCATACCCTCAGCACACACCAGGAGAGATTTCCCAGAGAAGAGGTTGCCAGCAGGCCAGGGGGCTCCCTCACACTGGGTTAAAACCCTCAGCAAAGTCTCTGTGTCCTTGTGGGCAGGACCCACGATGGTATTTTTTGTCTTCCTTGGTATGCTTTGCTCCTTGCCAGGGGCCATCCTATTCTCTAGTGTTCCACCCAATCCACTAGGTCCTTGCCAGGAACCCAGAACAGCCTGGAAAGATCCATACATGGACTCTTGTGAATTTTCTTTCTCTTGTCTTGTCTACCCAGGCTTATCAGCATCTAGCCAAACAGGATACTGCATATCAGCCTGAGTGCCCAGGAGCAGGGCATTGCAACTGTCCCATGCCCTTTCTCCTCTGTCACTTTACATTGCAGGAAGCATCCTGACCAGCATGCCAGCTCCAGCATCATTGCCACCTAGAGCAGCACTAGCTGGATACCTATACTCTGACCACACAGGTTCGGTTCTTGGTCTTCTTCCACAATGACCAACCTTGGTAGAGATGAGAGGTCTCCAGAAGCCAATATTTGCCTATTCTGGCATTTATTCTTCATGAAACCTATTGCCCCCTCTGAGTGCACAGGCCCTGTTGGGCAGCAAACATGTGATAGATGGAAAGGTGGCTATGAAAGGGGCTCTTGAAATGACTTGGTCCACAAACCAGGGAGGTGGAAAAAGATATCTTGCACCTTCCCAACACAAGATTACTTGTGGCCAGGTGGCCAAAACAAAGGTGAAGGACTATTGAGAATTAGCAGGGGACCAGGAAGGAAATGCATGTGAGTATGGAAAACAGGAAATTACCATATGTAAGACTATCTGCATTTTGCCTTAGAGGGAAAGAAATACCTTACAAGGACTGAACACCAGGGCCTCCTGTGAACTAACTAAATCTTGGTAAGGGTGTTCCAGAACAACCCAATCCTGGCGTGTGAGGAGACATTGACAGAGAAAAGGTAGATGAATCCTGAATCACACAGTGTAATTTTTTAGCAGCTTACACAAGTGTGGTCTTGGACAGCAGCAAGACCATTGGAGCCCCACAATTTGGATCAGAAAGAGGCATATTTATGAGTTAGGATAGAAATTACCTTATCCTGAGTGTACCTGGTTTACTTTAAGATAATTTCAAAGTCAGGCACATCCTTGGAGCTAGAGCCTGGCTGTCATCAAATGTAATAGGTTCACCCATTAGTGAGTATAAAACCAATAAACATGACCAAGAAACAAAAGAATGAAAAAAGGCTTATTTCAACAAATAACATGCTCACTAGAGATAATTCTCAAAGCAGTGTCTCCTTAAGCAAAAGAAATAAAGGACTATTGTTAGAGAAACACATATCAGGGAAAGAAATCATTGCATGTTCATTCTGCTCATGTTCAATAATGGCAAAGAATTTAGTGTTATAAAAAGCAAAGTTCAGGAAAACTAAACGGTGACTTAGGAATTTTAGCTAAGTTAAGGTTTTTTTGTGGGGGGAAGATCTTAGCTTAAAAAAAAAAAAAAACCTTAAAGGAGGTTTGACAGTCATTTAAAGGAGCAGCTCATGCCCAAAGCATAGATCATTGTCTCTTCCTGGCACATAAATCAAAGTGTCTACCTGGCAGCTAACAGTCCCATTCCAATGGTTTTGTCTACTATAGTTTGTTGGGAAACATGCTGGGAAAACCAGTAGGGTTGCTTTGGGGCACTCAGAGGCACACTTGTGAATGAACAAAGATCAAGATCCATCTTAGGTTTAGAGACTTCCATTGTGTCTAGGATTTTTACTTTTACATAAACACACATGGTATGGCTCAATGCCTAAGAGAATCAATTTCAGAACTTAAAAGTTCAGCTCTACTCTTAACTGAGATGGATGAGTTATGAATTATTGTTCTGAATCACGTTCTTAAATAGTAAGATGATGTGGGAGCATGGAAAAGTGTTTTTGAGAGCCTTTAAACAGAGATTTCAGTCCCAAAGCAGCTAGCAGTGCTGTCCTATCGCAGAATGAAGGGGGCTGTCGAGGGTGTTGACTGTCTCACAGGGTACTTGCTTCCCGGTAGGTAGCCTCGTGTCCAGTTGTCCCACCTGCGACCAGGGCTCCCTCACGTTGGAAACACATATGCTGACAGACACCCTAGTCGCTCCTATAGGATCCGTGTCCAGTTTATGGGAGGCCGCGTCCACCCCCGTCCCTGCAGCTTCCTTCTAATCACAGGGTCCCTGCAAGCAGGATAGAGGATCTCCTGCCAGACAGCAACGTGTTGCCCCAGTCCAGGCCAGTGCCGCCACAGCTCCTAGACCACTTCCCATACGGAGCGAGGTCTTGACACACGACGTGGAATCGGGTCTTGCGGAGGCCCTCGTGGCCTCCGTGGTCCCCTTGCTCGTCCACAGGCCGCCTCTCCCCGTGCCTGTCCAGCACCACGGACAGCTCCGGGCGGGCTGACCCTGAGGATAGCCGCGCCTGGCCGCTACCTCGGGGTCGCCTGGGAAGAGCCTCCTCCAGCCAGCCCCGAGGGCGTCTCCGCGCTGGTTCCCGAGTGGGGCCCTGGAGTCGCCCCATAAGCCAGTGGGTACCCCGGGCAGGTCCTCCGGGGTTCCTAGAGCGCCCGGAAGTGCCCGTGGGTGGGACCTGAGGCGCGGCGGCGGCTCGCTTGCGGTTCGGCTCCCCGGGAGTCGCGGGTAGCCAGACCTACTTTGCGCGGTGAAGCTATGCTGCTGTTTGCGGGGACCCGGCCTCTGTGACTGTGGTCTTGTTTCTGCGTCCCCGGTTTCTCCCCGGCCCGCGGAGCGATCCCCCAGCGCCCCCCTCACCCCCGCGCGCAGCGGGCTGGGGCTGTGGGGCCCCAGGGACTCCGCAGCGTCCGCGCCGTGATTCCCCCAAGCCGTGCCCGCCGCAGATGAGTAGCCTTCTGCCCGAAGACTTTCTCGGCATTGTCGCAACATAACATTTTAAGTCTGGGCTTATCTCTTTTTTTGTTGGTTTTTTGTTTTGTTTTGTTTGTTTGTTTTTTGTCTTTTTCCTTTTTACCGGTACCAGGGATCGAACTCACGACCGCCTGCTTGCAAGGCAGGTGCTTATGCCGCTGAGCTAAATCCCCAGCCCCATCTGGGCTTATCTGAAAACAGCATTTGTACCCTCAGATTGGCAGGAAGATGGCAGGAATGCACCTGCTGTCGAGGCCAGAAGTGTCACACGTTTCTGGACTTTGCCTGGACAAGGATCCGAGTCCCTTCAGCTAAGTGCCTGCCTCCTGGACCGGCCTGTGTGCAGCTGGAGAGAGTCTCGGTTCTCAGGATGAAGGCAAGCCTCTTAAGAGTTTTCAGTGCTAACAAGCAGCCCGCTGCTGCACATATGCCTTAGGTTCGCCAACGCTAAGCTCTAAGCACAGCGCACACCTACCGACTGGATTTCTGTTCCTCACAACTTGTCTTGAGTTTCAGAAAGTCTTCATCCCAGCAGTCGGAGCTCTGGCCCCTACTGAGACCTTGCCTTCTGCCTCATCTGTGAAGATGGACATGGTCAGACCTTTTTTCAGGAGCCAGGGTCCAAGAACCCTGCACTTCCTCTGGAGCCTTATTCTTTGTCCCATGGGCTAATGCTCTGATTCTCACATTTCCCACTGTTCAGTGCAGACTTCTTAGTCTCTGCAAACTCCAGTTACAGCCATAGACCCTCGCCACCTGTGGGTCTGGGCTTTTTGGCCAGGTATCAGATTTCAGAGAAAAAAATTGAAGTCAGGTCCTTAAAGAGCACCTTTTTAACAGATTTGTTTTTCAATAAGAGCATTTTTTTCTCAGCAACTATAAGGGAGGATTTGCCCACACTTTCAATCAATATTTTGTTTTAAAAACAAATGGGTAGTGGGAGATTGCAATCCTAACACTTGGGAGGCTGAGACAAGAGGATCCCTGTGAATTTGAGGCCAACCTGGACTACTTAGTGAGTTGAAGTCTAACCTGAATGAAATAGTGAAAACCAGCTACTCAACAAGGTGAGGCAGGAGGATTGCAAGTTCCCAGCCAGCCTAGACAACTAACAAGGCCCTGTCTCAAAGGAAAAAGGTGCTGTGGATATAGCTCAGTGGTAGAACACCCCTTCCCTTGAAAAAAAAAAAAAAAAAAAGGTGTTTAACTTGTCCCTAAGACAACCTGTCCTCAGGTCTACCAGGAGCTGTTCCAGAGCCCTGTCTCCTACCCTGTGTGGCTCTGATGGTGGCTTCACTAGTGAAGTCCTACGCACAGCTATGGTCTTAACCACAGGCTCAGGTCCTAAGGCCCATGTGTTTCCCACTGTTCTCTGCTCATCCCCAGCTTGCTGTGATCATAAGTGGACGTGGCTTTTCAGGAAAGATTCCATGTGGGAATCAAACAAGCAGAGGGGTCTTCAGGACCTCCAGCCTCTACTTCAGAGCCTATGGAATGCCTGTATATGCTCCAGTTGTCCAGTTGGCCATAGCAGGGGGAGTTCAGCCACCTACACTTTGTGGCTGCCAGCACGCCCCACACAGTGCAGGGCAGCTGCTCCAGTAGAGGTCTCAAGGTTAGGAGGACATTCCACAGAGCTGGCAGCTGATGGTCACTTTCAGCAGAGTTCCAGCAGCTGGTAACTTGTCATGCACATCCATTGTCCATTTGCTGTCTCATTCAACACACTTGCCAAGCCCCACACATGCTGAGACAGAAAGCAGAGTTCCCAGCAGCTCGACACTTCCCTGAAAAGGGTAGGGGCATAAACATGCATGACATGGAAACTCAGGGGCATATAATTTACCTTGGGTGACCTCCAGCCATATCTGAGTTTTATGCTGACAGCCCTTTGCCTACAATATGACAGAACCCAAGCTGGGGTCTTCCCATCTACCATGCTGCTCTGTCAGCAGCCCTTCTGCAGTGTCTCCGTGGTCCTATCTGCTTTGGGTATCACATAAATGAATCATGATATATGCACCACTTTGTGTCTGACTGACTTGCTCAGTGCTGTGCCTTGAGATTAGTCTTCTATAACTGAGTATTCATAGCGGATTCTTCCTTGATAGGTGTGGTTTTAATTTACAGTGCTAGACTCACGGCCAAGAAATTTTATCCCATTCTACATGTGAAGAACTGGACTCCTGAAATGTCCCTTTTCAAGTCCTTATCTTCAAAATAACCAAATAGAAGTGTCCAGTTCATCTTTCTCTGCCCATCTGCATCTTTTATCCTGGTGGTTCTGTTCTTTTTCTACATTGCTTTGTAAATTCCTTCACTCCACCTAATTCATCTTTCTATTGTGTTAATTCTGTGTCTTCTTGCTTCTAGTGTGACTCTCACTCCTGTAAACGCTTTTAGTTCTTATGGGAATTGTAAGCAACAAACCCTCCTCACTTTTAATCATGTGTAACAGACAGATGACACCGAGGTCTAGGAATAGCAAAAGCTATTATTTCTCAATCTTGCAAGAATGGGCGCTAGACTGACAAACAGACTAATACACCCAGGAGTGGCCACAAAGCAATTTAAACCCTAGCATGCAGCAGTGGCCCCTCCCCTGTTCCCACTACTCAGTTCCCTTCCCCCTGCCTTCCTTGTCAAATGTGCTCTGGTTGCCTACATCCTTAGCCTGCTCCCTCTGTAAACATGTTGTGGGTTTAAAAGCAAATGATTAAACTACAGGGGCTAATTCTTAACTGCTAGTATTTTTTTTTTTAGTCAGAGTTAGCATAGTGAACGTCATACTTACTGACTATCAACCCCTTCCTATTTTGTTTAGAGACTATTTTTAAATGCATGACCTTGGTCGTATTTTCAGGCAAGTAGTTTTTCACCCAGAATTAAAGACCTTATCTTGAAAATAGACCAGTTTTTGTTTCATACAGGAATAGACATAAGTTGTCAAATACATTTTCTTTGTTTAACAGAGATGTTTTAAGGAAGGCTGCCTAAGAAATTAACTTGGATCTGGGCATGGTGGCACATCCCTGTAAACCCAGAATTTGGGAAGCTGAGGCAGGAACACTGTGAGTTTGAGGCCAGCCTGGGCTACATAGTGGGCTCAAAGCCAACCTGAACTGCATAGTGAGACCCTATCTCAAAACACAAACAACAACAAAACAGCAACAAAAAGAAATTAACATGGAATAAAATCTTAATATTTTATTCTAACTTGCAGTTTAAAGAGAATTGTAAAAATTCTACATAGCTTCTCAACATAAATGAGTTGGCTGTGATTGTCTGAGGTGGTTTCTCCACTTTTTCTGTTCCAAACCATCACATCATTTCTGACCTCACCCTCTGGTGGTCCCAGAACCTTAGAGCAGGAGGCTTAGTGTCACCATGGCAAGACCCCTCTAACCAAGCGCTCTCCCTCTGCAGTACCCTCTTGAATTCCTGCTCACTTTGAAGAACCCTTGTGGGCCACTAAGGAGGACTTCTGCAAAGTGTTCTGTCCTTCCTTTCGCGTATGTCCCAGTGTCCAGCACAGCAGGGACAGATGCCATGACCCATCATGACATCAGCACTGATACATGGTTGGGGCCAGTGTGGCCGTCCCACTGGATATTGGTGCACAACTTCCTTCCGATTGTTTTCTACTGTTAGCGCTGCCAATGTCTCACCTCATACTGTCTTAGTAAAATATGCTACTGTTACAGATCCTGTGGGTCTGTCCAGGGTCTCATCTCATGGCTGTCCAGAGGTCATAGGATCTATGCCTTCATCTGTAGCAGGTCCTCCCCCACAGTTTGTATTACACAGCCCCAGTGGTGGAAGAAGCCCCCAAATGCTCCAGGTCACTCACCGCGTGGCTTTGCTGCTGTGCCTGCCGTTTTCTTTTTTCGTTGTTTGTGTTTTGTTTTTTGTTTTGTCTTTGTTTTGGGGTCCATGGAATAGAAGGAAGGGTGAACATAGGGACTAACAACTCCTTGAGGTCTCCTATGTACCTGAGCCTGGGCAGCTGGAGAGAAGTCAGGGCCTGCAGCCATGCATTAGGGTGACACCAGCCCATGCAGGAGAGGGGGTAGGGAATGCCTGCACAGTGAGGAAGCCCAAGGCCAGCTGGCGCACTGGTGAGGAGCCAGGACTGTGTCTAGTAAGTGGTGGGAAGCTTTGTAGTCACACTATTCATCTTGGAATGTCCCTTGCTGAGGAAGAGTCTAGCTTCCAAGTATGGATCAAGAGATAAGGAGGAAAATGACTATTTGTACTTTTTAGATCATGCCCTTTTTAAAAAAAGAGAATAAAACTTAACAAAGTAAACAATAAAGCAAATCAAAACAGTAACAGTGGTACAGAATTATAGAGCAAGACCCTGTCTAAAAGGTGAAAAATAGGGGCCAGGGATATAGCCCAGTGGTGCAGCACCTATCTGGCAGGTACAAGGTACTGAGTTTGATTCCTGGTACCACCAAAAAAATAAATAGTCTTATTTTACCTATCTTTGTCAGGATATCTTTTTATTTGTGATAAAACATTTCCTATTGTATCAGCAGAGTATACTGTAGAGGAATTGACAAGTGGAGAACAGTAGAAAGAAGGAAGAAATCATCAGCTGACACCACATGCATGTTTTTAATATTTTTATTTTAAACAGAAAAAACAATTTCAAAACAATTATTAGAGGATAACAATGGTTAATACATTGCATATTGTTATCTTTAAATTAGTTACTCGGAATACAAGATAACTGCATTTCGTGGTCCAAAGATTAATTTTCTTGGTTTTTTGTTTTGTTTTGTTTTGTTTTGTTTTACATCTGTACAAATTCTTTTTTCCTATCCTTGTCAGAGTGGTTTGCATGCCCAGGGTCCTTTGGAACCTAACACTTTAGTGTTTACATCAGGCTTAGCCTCTCACAAACCACAATACAGGTAACAGAGAACTAACACCTGATTGTCCTTCTTGGCATAGTCCCCTCCAGCCCAGAGTCCAACCGTGCCTTCTGTCACCATGTCTTTTGTCACATGTCTCATGTGAAACTGTCGCAATACCACTGAGCAAGGAAGCGCCCTTCTGTGCCCTCCATGTGATATCCTGCGACTTACTATTCCAGTCCTGCTGTGTGGCTCGAGTCCAATAACAAAGTGGCCACATTTGTGGAGGCAGCAGGAGGCAGGGCCGACACAGAGCAAGCGACCCTCTCTGGGAGACTCGCCGAGTGCCCTGGCTAGCGCTGCCTCGGCGGCTCCGGCTCCAATGGAGCCACCCGAACCGGGTGCCTGCGCGCTCCGGTGCAGAATGAGAGGGCGCCAGGGCCCAGGGGACAGGTGCACAGGCACACCCACCCGGTCCCGTCACCACCCCAGAGAGGAGGCGGCTAGCCCGGAGGCTCGAGGGACCCAGCCCGAGAGGGGCAGCCCGACAAGCAGGCGCGGTGCTCACTGCCACCACCCGCGTGTGCGTCCACGTTCATTCCTCCGTTCATTCAGTAGGTGATTCCGCCGTCACATCAGGAGCCGCCTAGCCCACGCCGCTCTCCTAATCTGGCCAAAGGCCAGAGCCCTGAAAAGCGCTGCGACCACTGAACGCGAGTACTGGGCACAGAGCTGCAGTCCTCCAACTGCCCAGAGCGTTCGGAGAGGGCCGGGGGCGGGGCCGGGGGCGGGGCCTGGGCCGCATCGCTTCCGGGGCTGGAGGAGCCGGCGGCACCGCCCTCCTGGGCCCGGGGCAGCCCAGGTAAATCTCGCGAGCGGGGCGGGAGGTTTTGGCTGCTGGGCCGGATGGTCCACCCCATCCCAGCCTTGCTCCCAGGAGCTCGGCTGCGGGACTGGGCCCGAGGATGCGCCTCTTGCCGCTGCTTCCTTTGTGGTCCTTTGCCAGGCTTCTCGCCATCCTGCACAGGGCTTTGTCAGATGGGTCCAGGATTCGTGTCTGTGTTGCCAGTGTTTCCTGCTTTTGATTTTGCACTTTCTCCCGTAGTCAGGTTTGAGTGTCAGGATCAGAAAAGTAGTTCCGTTGTCAGAACGTACACTGTTTAGGTATCCTGTTCTATTTAATTCATATTTTTATATTCTACCTTTTGTAAGTATCAAGAAAAATTTATGGAAATTTCTGTAGATGACTGACGATTGACAGAAAATCTGTGAAGACTCACCACTTTACCATTGGCTCTGCATCAGCGAGCAGGTTGCAGGAAGCAGCTGGAACCAGCTGCAGGGCCTGGAAGATCCTTGGGGTGACCTCAGTCAGGACCCTCAGGAGTGCTAAGCAGGACACAGGCCCAGCTAGGTGATGCTTCTCAGGGTCCCCTGCCTTTAGCTGCTAAGACATCTTGACTGTCCACTAGCCCTATGCCTGCCCTCACTGTCATTTTCCTCCTTTTTTTCCTCTACTTAGTGTTCTGCAAGGTGCAGCAGCCAGAAAACCACCAAGCCTGACCTACAGATGCCAAGGAGAGGGGAGGCGGTTCCCACAGGTGGAGGCATGAGGGACACACAGTCAGTCTAAGGAGCGAGGAAAGGACCCTTTTGGAGGGAGAAAAGGGGCCAATTTTGGAACTTGGCCCCCAACCATTTGCCTATCTGCTGTGTCATCTGGCTCAGGCCCCAACCATTTGCCTATCTGCTGTGTCATCTGGCTCAGGCTTGCTCCCCCAACCTCCTTCCTCAGTCCCAGCCCCTGCCCTACATGCCCTTTCTACTTCCTGCTGCCTCTGCCAGCCTCCCTTCTCACACACACAGACACACAATCAGTGTCTCATTCTCCGTCTGGCTCATTGCCCTCAGGAAGTGACCAAGGGATTTTGATGAACAGCACTGCTGGCAAGCCTCTTGCCCCTTGGCCACCTGCCCTCTTGCTAGGTTCCAGAGACACAGGCCATGTGTGAGAGATGCCAAAGCTGAGGACTTGTTTCAGTTTGTTATTGTTGCTATTACTACATAACTAGTCCTCACAACACCATCTTCTGTCAAACCATCGCAGCCATGCTCTACTCATTTTTCTCAGCACTGGGAGGCTGCCTCAGAGCTGTGGCCACTCAGGACACACCCAGATCTGTGCCTCCACTGCACTCACACCTCAATCCCTCCTGAGGGCACCAAGCCTGGGGTGTTCCTGCTGTCTCTCCTTATCCAGTTTTCAGCATGTCCAGATCTGTCTGCATGGATTCATTGTAGCCCTGCAGCTCTGGGCTGAGTGATCATTTTAGCCAGTGCCACCATGCAGAGAACAGTGGAGGAAAATCAAGATCACAGCAGAGCCACCCAAAAGGAGCATGGGCAGCAGCTCAAGCCCTTAGAGGCAGAGGGAGAGAACGACGTGAACCTCAGGCCCATCGGATCTCCTGGCCTGCCTCCATTTGGCGACAGTGTTCTACCCAGTAGATAGGTTTCTTCATTAGATGTGGTGGCTCAGGATCTGCTCAGGAAAATGTCAGGGTTGCTTAATCTCTGTGTTGGGAACTTTTGAGCAGAAAATATTTATGGAGAGGCTATCTAGTGCACTACGCAAGGTTCAACAGCATCCCTGACCTCTACCCACCAGATGCTAGCACACACACCCCTTTGTGACAGTCAAGACTTATCTCCAGCCATTGTCAGATGTGCCCTAGCTTTATGTTTAGGGGCCTTAGGGCTACCCTGAGAGGACACTTGGGAAGACCCCCTATGTAAGGTGACCCAGTACAGGGGCAGTGATTGCTGACTGGACACCCCTACCCTTTGGGCAGCTCCTTAGGACCTGGAGGGGAGGCCTAATCCAGTGGAGTGTTCCTTTCACTGTCCACCTAGCTTGGTGGTTGTCCTCACCTTGGCAGGCCCTGTCCCTCCCCTGTGCCACCTCCTACTGGAACTTCCCTCTGTCTTAGGAAGGCCATAATTAATAACCAGTATTCTGATATCATGTCATGAGAACCTCTGTTTAAATGACTATGTTCCCCATGTGAGCTGGGGAGACAAGGATTGTCGACACTCAGCCTGAGATGTTGAGGCCCAGTTACAGGGCTGCTGCTCATGCTCTGGGAACTTTCACCTGAGTGAAGCCTCCTCCTACACAGAACAGAAGCCCTCTGAGTTTGTGGGTTGGGGGTTGTCCCAGTCAAGATCAGAGAAATGGGCTAGAACTGGGACACAGGTCCTGCCTCTCCCAGTTCATCTTTCCCCATTTCTTCTGCTCTGCTGCCAACCAGCTCCCTGCACTTTCCAGGTTACAAAGGGAGCATAAAAACATGGCCCTAAATCGGTCTGTTACCTCCACTCCTAAGCCAGGTGGGCCAATGCTGGGAACTCTGACTACTTCTAGGATACAGTGAAGGACTCCCATCATCCACTCTGGCCCTTTGTCCATGCGTACAAACACAGGTTTTAGGAAGTGGGGAGGGAAGCAGGACAGCTACCAGACAAGCAAACTAGTCATCCACTAGAAGTGACTTTATTCCTACTTCTCTATCATGACCATAGCTTGGCAGATTCACATGCAGCACTGCACTGTATGGTGGTTTTTTGGAGTCTAAAACTGAGTGTGTCTGATGTCTCTTTCCAGCAGATATGGAGTGGCCAGGCTGCTGTGCCCCCGCCCCCAGCGCTGGGCAGGCAGAGCAGGGCACCCATCAGAAAACTCCAGCAGGCAGATACGGTAGACAGGCAGTGCCGGAACCACTTCAGGGGTCTCTTGGGGCCCTGAGGGATGCTATAGAGAGGCCCAGAGAAACGCCCCACAGAAGGGGTATTTTTGAGGTACCTGAAGGACAGAAAGGAAGTGGGTACACAGTGTGCTCAGGAGAGAAATAGCTGGGAAGGTGGGTCCTGCCCAAGGACAGCCTTACCTGTGGCCAGAGCTTCACATGCTCCTCAGATGCAATGAATCACCTGAACACACACTCAGGGCAGAGGCCGCTCGAGCACAGTGACTGTGAGAAAGCCTTGATCCACAGTGCACATACAGTCCAGCACCAGAGCCACAGCAGGTAGCGGCCCTACGTGTGCCAGGAGTGTGGCAGAGCTTCAGCCTAGTTCAGCACCAGTGAATGCACACAGGAGAGGACCCACGATGCACTGAGTGAGGTCAGCATGCTGACACTGTCAAGCACTGCTGCACCTTCACTAGTGAGCAACCGTATGCATGCAGCGACTGCAGCAGGACCTTTGTCCACAGTTCCAACATTGTCTGACACCGCAGAATGTACCACACACAGAACCCATTCGAATGCCAGGAGTGCAGCCAGGCCTTTAGCAGAGCCCCAACCTGCAGCACCAGCGCGTGCACACTGGGGAGCGGCCCTTCACCTGCCAGGATTGTGGCTGTGCCTTCAGCTGTAGCTTTTTCCTCCAGGAACATCGGCGTGTTCACACGCTCCAGAAGCCCTTCTGGTGTGCCAAGTGTGGCCACATTTTCTGCTTCAGCTCACACTTCCCGCAGCACCAGCAGGTGCAGGTCTCCAAATGAGGCTGAGAGAGAGGCATCTGGAGGCCTGGGTCCTCATCCAGTAGGCAGTGAGGAAAACAATAAAGCCCCCTGCTTGGAAAACCTACGTGTGTGGTTTACCCCTGGTGAAGAAGCCAGGTGAGGAGAAGGGTCATGGTGGAGGCTGAGGTACAATCTTTTGAGACCAGATACTCAGGGTAACAAAGAGGATGCCAACCAACCAACAAAAAAAAAGTGTGCCAATTAGAAAGGAACTAGCCAGTTAAATATTTTCTTTTCTGAGAAGGAATCTCCCTATGTGGCCCAGACTGACAACACAGCATGCTCATGTGTTTCCCTGGGCACCATTCCCGGCACGAAAAACTAAAGCTCTGGAGAGCCTGAGTGGAATAAGGACTAAGTGACCACTGGGTGGAGCCATGAGGCAGCGTTTGCTTCTCCAGAAATGGAGCGTAAAGAAGACGAGGCCTAGTCTCGGCTTTACAAGGTTCCCAGTCTGTTCTTTCCTCATGCAGGTCCCATGGGTCTGAAGGCTGGGCTGGGATGCCACAGTCATGAGCAAGAAGACCAGCTGGGCTACTTCCCAGTACAGGGCTTGCATCCAGGCCTTTGATCCAGATCACAGTACCATACACCCTGCAGAATATTTTATTGTGCAAAACTCTCCAGTTTTGCTCTGCTAGTGAGTCAGCCTCGTGCAGAATTCTAGTGCAGTCCCATCATTCAGAATTCAAAGTCTTCATCCATCATGTCAAAGGCCCAGGCAAACTTCGCTCTCTGCAACTTGCTATAAATTTTTTCCACAGGAACCCCAAACCGTTTACACCTGCAGGGACAGTGTCAGCCTGAGGGGCTGGTATCAGTTCCATATCCCATCCAACTCCAAAGCCAGGCAGCAGAGAAACCAGAGACCTGGTGTGGAGCCTGCCCCTGCTGCTGAATACCCAGCCGGGCAGCATCTCTCCCAGTGTCAGGGAGGCTCGAGATCTCATACCTGAGCCACAATGTCAGCCCTCGTCACCTCCTACTCCCAGTAGGCTGAGCAGCCACTTGGCCTTCATGTTCCAGGCCATTGCTGGTCCCACCCCAAACCATCCCAAAGCTCAGGGGAGGAAGGACCTGGGGCATGGAGCTTAACATCAAGGACATCTGGTCAGGTACATCCTTGTCACAGAAAAGACCTGGCCTACCACAGGGACCCCAGGACAGGTTGATGTACCAGGCAATGCTGATCCTAGGGTCCAGGTAGTTGAGCTTGGATGTGCCCAAGGCCACGTGCTTGTTCTCCTCCTTATCTATGGCCTGGGTACTCAAGTGGCCCAGCTGCTCCTCCAGCTTCTGCAGCAGCCTCTGCTTCTTTTCCAGGATTCTGGTGGAAGAGAAGGGGGCCTAGGTGCTATGTGAGGACAGTGGCATGGAGACTGTGCTCCTAGCCACCACTGCCTCCTCTGCCCTATGTCTTCTCTCCATGTTCCACCCATTATCCTTCCTGGTTACCATCAACCTCTCCAGGCATCATGCAAGGTAAGGAGTCCTGTCAGGATCAAAGACCAAAACCAAACCCCAATGCGCCCAAGAAACAGCCGCCAAAAAGTCCCAGACCCAGAATAATTATTACTGAGCCACAGCAGGGTAACTACCCTCATCTCAAGATCCTTAACTGCATCACAACTGCAAAGATCCACATTCACAGCCTCAGGACACAGAACATAGACAGTTTGGAGGGGTCACCATTCTCAATACTACAGACATAGAAGGTATCACCTACACGACCCCAATCAGAATTAAAGAACTCTCAAAATAAGTGTGGTGATACATGCCTATAATTCCCAGCCTTCTGGGAGGTTGAGACAGATTAAAAGATGAAGCCAAACCCAGGCAACTTAGCAATTTAGGGAGACCCTATTTCAAAATAAATAAATAAAAAAAGGCCAAGGATGTTGCTCAGTGTGAAGGCTCTGGATTCAACGCCTAGTATCAAAAACCACAACAGAAAACCCTCAGCACTGCTTATTCCCAGACATGAAGGGTGAAAGTAGAGATCGTGTGCCTGAGGCCCTTTCCTTCAAAGAAATCCCATGCAAAACAGGAGATGAGTAACTGGTATGATAAACTGAAGTCCTGGGGGTGGCATCAGCATCTAGCACGTAGCTGTAGGTTTTGGAGCTGGTGCGCTGTCTTCTATCCACACACGGCTGATGCATGGACGCCTGTGGAAGGCACTGTGATGTGCAGTAATACTAACTCCTTATCACAAAGGCTTAACATGGCAACAGCCCCATCTCACTCCTGGGATGACCTGCAGACCAGTGTCCTCCAGGTGGTGACTTGAGGGGACTGAACCCCTCCACCACATGACTCACCATCTTCAGCATAAAGCTCTGGCAGCTCTTAAGCTCATTTCAGTCCACCCAGGGAGGCAAGATACTGGTGGGAAATACTTGTGGAATGAGCCCAGAAGCCCGACCCCTCCTCTCATACTCTGCCACAAGCAACTCAGTCACGGCTGAGAGCCAATGGAAGTCCCCAGGAAGAAGAGGGTATTGATATGGTGATCTGTCAGCTGCTTCTTACTAGGCCCAGGGGACACTGGGACAATGCCTTCTAAGCAAAAGAAAGAACGAAACATGGTGCTGGGAAAATTTGCAAAATGTATCTGACAGTTTGTATGGAAAATATATATAGATAGCCAGGCATGGTGGCTCACGCCTGTAATCCCAGCACTCGGGAGGCTGAGGCAGGAGGATTGTTGTAAGTTCAAGACCAGCCTCAGCTACAAAGTGAGCTCAAGGCCAGCCTGAACTGCATAGTGAGACCCTGTCTCAAAAAGATAAAAAAAAAAAAAGAAAAGAAAAAAGAAAAAAAGAAAATATATAGATAATACTTAATAAGGAGAAGATAACACAACCTTTTAAAGTAAACCAAAGATTAGGGCAATTACCTTGAAAGAGAAGATACAAACAGCCAAAACATTAAAGAAAAGATGCACAAAAGCATTAGTTATCAGGAAAATCCAAATTAAAACTCTTTGTATCACATTAAAAAAAGGAAAGGAAGAAAGGAGGACAGGTGTGATATGATGGTGCACACCTGTAATCCCAACCCGCAGGGTGCTGAGGCAGGAGAATCACTGCAAGTGGGAGGCCAGCCCTGGCTACACAGAGAGGCAAGGCCAGTCTGAACTGCATAGCAGGGCCCTGTCTCCAAAAGAAAACTGAGAGAGGAGAGAGAGAGAAAAACAGGAATCTCCTCAACTTTTGCTTACCTTCCCGTGACAGTCATGACTGTAGTACAAGCACTTTGAGCTCGGTCTTCTAGGAGTCTGCTCTGCAAGCCCTTGACCACGTGTGGAAGGATTGCACGTGAGAATGCTACTGCTGAAGGCTGCACCAGCACCCCTACTGCCACGTGCCATCTTCTCAGGGCTGACTCAAAGTGGCTGCCTGACAGCATGAGCAGGAACACCATGGAAGCCAGGAGTAGGGGCAGCCACACTCCTCATCCAGTGCCCTTTGGGCTGTGTGACATCTACCACTTCTAAGACACCCCTCTGCACCTTGGGACACCAGCCACCAAGAGCCCAATAACCACTGCAGTCAGCAGTGGGAACAGGGTAATTCTCAGGGTACCAGGGACTGCAACAGACAACCAGACACCAACAGATTTCTAGCTGGCAAACTTCAAGACACACAGACCACCAACTGACTCACGAGAAACAGAAAAGTTCTCAGACCTGTTACAGGTGAAGAGACTGATTTAGTAATTTTAAAACTTCTCCCAGAGAAGCCTGCAAGTATAAGGCAGTTGGGCAATTTAGCAAGACCTTGTCTCACCACAAAAACTAAAAATGGCTGGCGTATAGCTCAGTGGTAGACCAACCCCTGGGTTCAATTTCCAGCAACACACAAAACAAAACCAAGGGGACATAGCTGAAGTATTAGCAATCATGTAGAAACATTAGAACCTTACACAGCACTGATAGAAACGTGAGCTGGTGCATCTCTACTGAAACTAAAATATCTTCAACTTATGACCATAGAGTTACTAGATGTTATAGCTTATACCTAGATGTCCCTTCCAGACCCTCATGTGGCCATAGGGGAGGCTTTTCAGAGGTGGCTGGATCTGGGGTGTATGAATGTGGATAAAAGGTGTGTGAATATGGATGAAGGGTGTGATAGTTAAATTAGTGTGTTGATTGGTTTAGTATAGTTCTGGGTGTGGGTAATGGGAAGCCCCACCATGGATGTGGGTGGTACTAATCAATAAGCTTATAGCCTATTGTAATGGCATATAAGGGGATAAGAAGGAAGGCAGGCTGCTGCTTCTTGCCTGCTCTGCTCTGGACTGTTTCTTCTCTGCAATGCCCTTCTGCCATACCACCCTGCCTTGGAGCTAGCTAGCTATGGACCAAAACTTTAACAAACTGTGAGCTAAAAATTACCTCCTTTAACTTGTGGGTGTTAGATATTTTGTCCCAGCAACAAAAATGTAACTAAGATAACCAGGTGACCCAGCAGTTTTACTCCTAAGTATCTGCCAAAGGAGAATAAAAACAAGTGAGCTTCACCCCCTGCAGCCAGGTGTCTAGTGACAGCAAGTGGTTACACCGTGAGGTCATCCACCCACAGAACAGTATTGCTAGCCATAAGAAAAGGAGTTCTGAGAGATGCTACAATCCAGTGAACCTGGAAAACACCATGCCCAGTGAGAGAGGAACAGACACCTCTGCAAACGTCCAGAGTGGGCCACCTGAGATGGGAAGCAGGTCAGGAATGAGTGAGGAGCTAATGGATATGGGTTTGTTTTTTCTTTTAAAGCCAAATGGTTGGTAACTGAAGCCCTTAGAATTCTATACTTTGAAAAATGGGTAAAAATGTATGCTGTGGAAATCTCTCAGCCAGGGACACAGCTCAGCGGCATAAGCGCCTGTCTGGCAAATCCAAGGTCCTGAATTCAATTCTCGGTGCCAAAAAAAAAAAGAAAATCATCTCTCAACTAAGCTGCTCAAAACAAAACCTAGAAGAACCAGTCGTCCTCCAGGCCTGTGACACAAGACTAGGGCTACTGCAAAGCCCTCTCCCAAAGCTCCGTACTATTTTGCTTTCTTCCACAGTCATATAGTTTGTGTTTGAAGAAAGAAAAGAAAATGACAACTGATTAGGAAAACAAGATTGTCCATACAGGAAAGCTCAAAGCCAAGGCCAAGTACATTCAGGTTGGATAGCTGGCCCTTGGGGTCTCAAGGAAGCAGGCCCCCACATACCTTTTAGACTTGCCATCCCCTTTGATTCTGTGGTCCACCTCGGCCTTCCTCAGCTCCTCCTGGGCCTCAGCTATCTGGATCTTCTTTGCTTGGATCTGCAAAGAAACAGGAGGCTAAACAGGGCTGCCCCTGTCCTACCTGGCCCTGCCCTGGGAATGCCATCACAGCTGTGGGTCAAAGGGTGCCTCCAGCAGAGAGCAGCCTGAGAAGGGCCCTGTAGTGCCAGCCTTGACCCAGCCTGTGGCCAAAGATGGGACGAGGCCAAAAGATCTCTCAAGCCTGACTGTATTACCTGCTCCACCTCCAGCCCCAAGGCCCCGCCTCTCAGCCTTCCTTCCTGGACTAGGATGAAAGATGGCCATGTCCCAACATGAAGGTCAGAGGTAGCACTAGGACAGCTCTATCCTGAACTGAGCCAGTTTGCACCGAGGTGTTAGCTCTTGGCAGGAGCAGCCACCTCCTGACCAGGACCTGGCCCCTGATGGCCCCAATTCCCCACACTAGGTGCTGAAGCACCTCTGCCTGTCACACTGCCCCTGTGTCCATTGTGGGCAGCTCAGCAGCACCACCAATGGTGAGAAGGATGGTAGGGGCTGGCAGGGGTCTCCTACCTTTGTCTGCAGATTCCGCACTGACTTCTCAAAGGTCTTGGGAGCTGCTCGCTGATGGTTGCAGTAGATGGCCACTGCCCGGTTCGCCCGATTGTAAGCTAAGATCTTGGCGGCTGTACTGTCTTCAGCTAGGCAAAAACAGCAGCCACTGTCACTCTACACATTCAGCCTTTCTGAAGGCCTTGCAAACGGAGGCCCCTTCCACAAGGACTTCTTGGGGATAAGAGAGTGAAGGTCAAGGGTCAGTGAACTATCCAAAGTAGCCCCATGAGCCCAGTGGTGTAACCTCGGGAGCAGGCTCAGGAGATAGAAAGCCACTCAGGCACTTCCTGGGAACTCAGCTCTGTCCTATTGGTGGAGCTATAGGAAGAGCAGATCAGATTAGTCCCTGGGCAATCTCTGTGGTTTTTGTTGTTTGTTTTGTTTTTTGGCCTGTTTTTCAACAAGGGTAAATGGATTAATATGTTTTTTTCCCTTTGGTACCAGGAATTGAACTCACAACCTCGTGCTTGTGAGGCAGGCACTATGCCACTGAGCTATATGCCTGGCCCTGCTGAAAAATCTCAACGTCTAGGGTAGTTTAGAGCCTGACAGCACAGAGGGTTCCAATAAAGGGCCAGACATCCATCTGTGCAGTGCGGTTGGGACCCTCCCTCAGGGAGCTCCAACAGCACAGAGGCCTATTCACAGTGCACTTAGCACCTAGCTGCCCCTGGCAACACCACCATCATTTCTCTTTTCCTGTCAGGAAACTGAGGCTCAGGGTGCTTTGGTCCCTCCTCAGGTCACCTGGCCAAGTGGTCATTTGTTCCCCTCACTCCCTCTGCCAAGTGTAGGCATCCCCAGATCAGGGCAGCTAGTTCTGCAGGGTTTACAGACACCTCTGGAAATGGACCAGGGTCTTTGGCCCCTCAGAGCTTTTCCTCTGCCTGGGACTCCCTCACCTGAATACCAGTAGAACCTTCCCTGACTCTCCAGGGATGTCCCCATAGTCACATGGACCACTGCTTGGGTATATGACCCTGCTTGGGGTACAGTGGGGATAGCTTGGATTCAACAGTTCTAAGTAAGTTCATGCTGCACCAAATGGCCTCCCTCACATCTCCTGAGCAAACCTGCTAAACCGTCTCCCAAGCTAGGCCACAGGTGTAGATGGTAGACATGGCCTACAGCATCTTTGCTGCTATGGGGAAGAAGCAGATGTCAGGTATATTTTGCCCCCACTAAGTGTCTAAGCGATGGAGTAGAGATGAAGGTCCTAAGCTGGCAGCAGCACAATGAGGTGAGGCTAAGGGGCCGGGCTGGAGATCCAGAGGTCAGGCCATGTGGTGGGGGAGGACAGTACAAAGGCCTATTAGGAACCTTAAAGGACTGAGGCCAGAGATAAGACCAGGCCTGAGGGAAGGAGGTGATAAGGGATGGGAAGACAGGGCTGAGCAGGAGGGCAGCCTCACTCTCATTGTGGGCCATGGGTAGCCTTCCATCTATCAGGCAGCTACATACACTTCACTTCACCCTACATACACCCTCACTTCACCCAAGACAGGCTACACACCTGAGGCACCATCTCTAGACACCTCCTGGAGACCCTACCTGGGCACAAGGATGAGCTCTGTGCTCACTCATGTAAGGGCTGGGGCCCTGCTCACCTCTGGTCAGTACCTGCAACTGCTCCTGGAAAATAGTAGAGGCATTGTAGGTACGGAACACCTTGGCTGTCAGCCCATCCATCGAGTCCTGCAGGTGCTTGTTCAGGCTGGAGGTCTGGTCATGTGGGAGGAGATGGACCCCATCAACATGGTTTCCATGGAGACAAGCTCTCCCCAGGCCATGCCTGACTTTCTGGAGGAGCCAGGCAAAATAACTCTAGCTGCTGAGTCAGAACAGAAACTACCACGGCCTGGCTGGGGACAAGGATGACCGAGACTCAGCACTGCCACTCTATTCCCTGCTGTCCACAAATGCTTGGAAAATGCAGGTAGGCTTACAGTCAATTTGTCAAAGAGTTTGTCCCCAGGGTCCTTGTTTGCCATGAATAGCTGCAAGTTCCAGAACACCTGAAAGAGAGGAGAGCTGAACCCAGAGCCACACACAGAAAAGACTCATGAGGCCCACGTTGGCAGACAGGGTCCTCATGAACACAGGAAAGAGGACACATCAGGACTAAAGGGAGGCAATCCCAGTGCAGTGTCAGGCCCACTCCCCAGGAGCTGGCAGCATCTTCATCCTTCACACCTTGGCCCTGTGGTCACTCATTTGCTGTTAATGCACAGCATTGTACCCGCTGGGTAAGCTCAGCAAACATCCAAACCCCAGCTCCCTCCTCTGTCACCAGCACTAGACTTCTACCAGATGGGTCTAGTCCAACATCACAGGGCCTCAGGAGACCATCAGGTCCCTGTCCAACCTCTCTCCTATGGTCACTTTTGGAAGAAGCCACTCAGTTCCTGCCTCCGCTGTAATTTTGCCTATGCAGTCTCCTAAGGGAGCCAAGTTGGTTCAGTGGGCATCAGCTTATGGCCTCCACTGCTCCCTCCGGGATCCACACAATGGCCTGTACCTCCCTTGGATGGGTAGCAGGAGACTGGAAAGAAGCAAAGTACCTTCCCTCACTGCAGTGCAGTGAGAGCCAGCCCCCTCACTGGCAGTGACCCTGAGTGGAAGAACCATCCCACAGCCACCTCCCAAGGAGAATGCCACTGACCCGGGTAGTCTGGAGCCTGACTGTGCTGCCAGGTTCTGAGAGCCCTGTTCCCCCAACCTTTCCTCTTCGTAGCTTTTTTCGCCATATAGGTTTTCACACTGGTGATGCTTATGCAAGTTTTATGTCCTAGTTCCTCATTATATCATATGTTGTTTCTCCTCTGAGGCAGAGAATGAGCATGAGCCAAAGCCAGGGATGTTCAAGATCAAGAGCCACCACCAGAATTAGTGAGAGGCAGGGAATGGATTCTCCCTGAGCCCCCAAGAAAGAACCCATCACCCCGCAATGCTAACCTCCTGAGGCGAAACAATAAACATCTGCGGTGATAACCCAAGTGTGGTGCCTCTGTGCACGGGGAACACGCTGCCACTGTAAGATGGGGCTCTGCCAGCCTTAGACAGACCAGCAAGCAGGCCGCAGCTCCCTCTGCAGCTCCTCCACACCGACAGACACCCAGACAGAGCAGGTGGTCACATGCACAGGGAGGACCACAAGGGTACTCACAGGCTTCTCCACAGGCACACAGTTATGGTAGCGGACTGAGTCCTTTCCCAGGAAGTCCAGCTCCACGACATGCTGGTGGCCATTAGCATGCCTGTGTAGTCGGACATGCTCCACGCGGAGAGAGCAGCAGCCCACTGTGTCAGCTGTTCTGCTCTCCTCCTTCTCATTTCCAGTTCGAAGCGCCAGCTAGACCAGGGTGGAGACCAACTGGGGTATGCACACACACGCATATACACATGCACACATATACCCCTCTATCTGCACACACACGCGTATACACATGCACACACAGAGACACACACAGACACACACACACACACACACACACACACACACACACACACACACACGTATACCCCTCTATCTGCCCGAGACTCCATCTCTGCCACTGCCCCTCTGCCTGACGCAGGAGGTCCCCAATCCATACCTTATCAATGAAATAAAGAGCCACCCCTCGCTGACTTTTCTTCATATCCAGAGACTTCCAGTCGGCCCGATACTGAGAGCGGATCTCATTTACAACCCCCTTCAGGCGTCGAGCCGTCTCATACTTTTGCCAATCCTTTTCCCCCTGAGGGAAAAGAGAAAATAGTAGGAAACTCTCCATGTTCCTGTAAAACAATGGGCTTGAAAGGCTGAACTGGAAGATTGGGGCATCGTCCACACCCTCCTTTACTGGCACAGGGGCCCACTGGCACGCTGTGGGGACCTTCCTGGAAGGCCAGATGCCCTCACCTTCAGCTTGGAGCTGGGGTTCAGCATGATGTACTTGATGGAATTCTGGACATTCTCTGTCCACGCTGCCAGCCATGTAACTGTGTTATCTGAGCGCACCTCTTTCCACTGATGACCTGCTGGGGGCTCAGGGATCTTTGAGTCCCTGCAGTAAAAGTTACCCAAATGTCATTTAAAGCCTTTGTTCTCGGACGTGCGTGAAAAGCAAGTACCTCCAGGCAGCCATCCCACACTGTGGCCAATGGCTATGACCAGTGGCTGGGCTCCTCATCGGGAGGCCTCAGCAACAGCCTTTCAGCTGCTGTGACCAAACCAGCTGTCCAGCCCACCCTCCATGTGCACATAAAGATCAGGGCTCAGATCAGGAACTGGATGCCACCAGCAAGGCCCCCAGCTCTACCACTCAGACTCACAGACCACACAGCTGCACTGCACCAGCTGGCCACCTGGGGCTGCTCACGCAGGATGTGGCCAGACACCCAGGTTGCATGGCCTTAGATAACAGTAACACTGCACCAGCAGAATTCTCACCAGGAGTTCAAACCCTGAGCCACTATTAGACCATGAACATAACCTGATTATGAAAAAAATGTTAAAAATGTGTAAGAAACTTCCTGGCTGGGAAAAAGCTCAACCTGACAAAACACAGAGAAGTCTCATAGTGCAGAACGGCACTGCCCACCACACCCGTAGCAGGCCCACAGCAATACATGGGAGTGGTGTGTGGTGTTGCCAGCTGCATGTCACATGACATGTCCTTGTCCCAGAAGACCTGAAGGACAAAGATCAGCTTGCCAGGTGGCCAGAGTCCAGCATGAACCCAGCCCATGCCCAGCTCACACTCCCAGCTCAGCCTGGCAACCTGCTCTACACACCTGCTGCAGTTGATGATCACATCCTCTGGCCTGATTCTCCGCTTCAGCATCCCCATCTTGGGATGGTCACCACGGCCACAGAACAGCCCAGGCGGCTCCATCTTGAAATTGCCTATTTTTTCTCGGTGGCCATCTAAAATACAGTAGCCAAACTCTTGCTCAAGTTTTTCTGCTTCTTCTTTTAGCTTCTGAATTAATGAAAGCATACATAGATATTAATAGTGAAGAACATGTTAGTTCTGTGTACTAACCCAGAGCCTGCCCCTCCTTCCCTGCACCTAAACCACTCACGCACCACAAAGACAGTGTGTGTCCCCACAGCAGGAGGAAAACCAGGCAGGCTCTAGAATAAACCTGAATCCCCTGCAACCACTGGCTTAGGGGAGGAATGATCCTTCCCAGGAGGGTCTGCAAAGTTGATATGTAAGAAATAATGGGTTTCTCCTAATTCAAGAGTACATGAATTAGGAAGCATCATGAGACCAACCGTGCTCCAAAGTCTTGCTCTGGTCCACACTGCTCACAATATTTCAAACACTACAACAATGTTCAAGCATATTCTGGGGCAATGGACCTACATTTGGAGCACATTTAAGGGTGTCTCACTCCAAAGTGTCCAGAACTTGATGCAACAGGGGCTAGGCCTGGACACATCCTCCAAGGGCACCTTGTCCAGGAAAGTTTTTGAGGGGCTTCCCTGAGGTCTTGTGTTTGCACTTGGCCTTGCTTGGTTGTACTCATGCCGACCAACCACTTCCACTTCTCACAGTGCTCCAAGCAATCCAACCTGCTTCTCCTCCCTGGGGAGGGCTCGCCATGCTGCAGCTTTGTCTATGAAGTGCCTGTGGATCTCTGTGAAGTCGCACTTGTCCAAGTGCTTGATGAGGCATCTCTCCTCTACTGTCATTTCCTGCACCAAAACAGGAGCATGTGCTCTTATTGTATGTGATGTGCTCTTATTTCCTGTGGCATGGGGAGTCCCAGGCTAGGAGCCCAACCCATAAGCTTCCATGACACCACAGAAGTAGGGGCATTGGACAGAGTGCCAAGGTCATCTCAGTAGACTATTAGCCTCTACTACCTGTCGGGCCAGAGGCTTAGGTGAAGAGTGGCAAGTTGAGGTCCAAGTGCTTCCTCCTAGGAGTACTCTGAACAAGTCACATGGCCTTGTCTGGGGACAGTACCACATATCCAGCACCCATGCAAAGCTTTCATGCTCACATACATAGCACACTCAGGACTGACAGGAACCGTTAGGGAATAGGATATGTCCTCAGCACAGAACTTCAGATTCATAGACTCTGATGTGCATTCTCTGAGCCTGGCTCAGGAAATGACAGACATCACAAACACCACATCCTCCCTCATGCAAGGATACCCACACCCCACACCACACTCCTGGTGAAAGAGACCCCTCTAGATCTGGGCGTGGTGACACACACCTATAATTCCCGTAGGCAAATTTAAGGAAAACCTAAAACCACTATTTCTCAAGCTCTTTAATGAAACTGAAAGGGAAGCAGTACTTCCAAATTCATTCCTAGAATCAAGCATTACCTTGATACCAAAACCGGAGAAGGACTCAACGAAAAAAGAGAATCACAGGCCAGGCTCCCTAATAAACACTGATGTAAAAATCCTCAATAAGATACTGGCAAACAGACTGCAACAAATCATCAAGAAGATCATATGCCATGATCAAGTGGGATTCATCCCAGGGATGCAAGCATGGTTCAACATACATAAATCCAAAAATATAATATACCACATTAACAGAACCAAGGACAAAAATCATATGATCTTCTCAACAGATGCAGAAAAAGCTTTTCACAAAGTCCAGCACCCATTCATGATTTAAAAAAAAAAAAAAACCTCTACAGAAAATTGGAATGGATGATCATTTTCTCAATCTGATAAAGGCCATCTAAAAGAAAAAGCCATCTACAACAAACCAACAACCAACATCATACTAAATGGACAAAAACGGAAAGCTTTCTCTCTAGAATCAGAAACAAGACAAGGATGTCCACTGTCTCCACTCTTGTTCAACATAGTCCTGGAAACGTTAGCTGGAGCAATTAGACAAGAGAAAGAAATAAAAGGTATAAAGATGGGAAAGGAAGAAGTTAAACTGTCATTATCTGCAGATGATGTGATACTGTAGTTAGAAGACCCCAAAAACTCCACCAAAAGACTTCTAGATTTCATAAGCAAACTCAGTAATGTAGCTGGATACAAAGTCAACAGTCAAAAATCGATAGGCTTTCGGTACATGAATAACAAACTCACTGAGAGAGAAATATTACTTTTACAGTAATATCCAAAAATGAAATACTGGGCTGGGGATTTAGCTTAGCAGCACAAGCACCTGCCTAACAAGTGTGAGGTGGTGAATTTGAGCCCTGATACCAAAAAAAAAAAAGTAAAAAAGAAATACCTAGGAATCCATCCAAAGAAGGACGTGAAAGAGCTCTACACTGAAAACTACAGTACTCTGAAAAAGTACAGCACTCTGAAAAATACAAAGATGATACTAGAAAATGGAATGATATCCCATGCTCTTGGGTAGAAGTGGAAATGGCCATACTTTCAAAACTATTATACAAATTCAATGCAATTCCAATCAAAATTCCAACAGTATATCTCACAGAATTAGAGGAAAACAATCCTAAAATTCAACCATAAAGACCTAGAATAGCAAAGGCAATCCTGGGTAACAAAGACAAGACAGGGCATCACAGTCCCTGACCTGAAATTACACTATAAAGCTACTGTGATAAAAACAGTGTGGTATTGGCAAAAAAAAAAAAACAGACCCAAAGATTAATGGAACTGATTAGAAGGTGCAGAAACAACTCCAGACACATTAAGCCACCTTGTTTTGACAAAGATGCCAAATACACACCCTGGAAGAAAGATAGCCTCTGTAATAAATGGTGTTGGAAAAACTTGCTCTAAGCCAAAGATTAAAACTGGACCCATATCTTTCACCAGGCACCAAGCTAACATTGAAATGGATCAAAAATTTTAACATTAAAACAGAAACATTAAATCTGCTAGAAGATAGAATAGCTAAAACTCTTGAAGACATCAAGGCAAAGACTTTACGAACAAAACCTCAACTCCACAGGAACTATCACAAAGAATCGACAACTGGGATCTCACCCTGTTGAAAAGCTTTTGCAAGCAAGAGAAACCACCAACAGAGTGAAGAGACAACCCACAATGTGGGAGAATGTTTGCCAGGTGTAACTCAGACAAATTTCTATAAAGAACTAAAAAAAAAAAAAAAAAAAAAAAAATCGGCTCTCCCAAATTTAAAGACCCAATTCAAAAATGGGTATCTGAGATAAATACACACTTCTCAGATGAAGAAATACAAACAACAAATAAAGAGGTGAAAAAAATATTCAACATCACTGGGCATTCAAGAGATGCAATTGAAACGACATTGAGATGGGTGTGGTGGTGTGCTCCTGTAATCCCAGCACTTGGGAGGATGAGGCAGGAGAAATGTTTGCAAGCTAGAGACCAGCCTGGGCTATGAAGTGAGCCCAAGGCCAGCCTGAACCGCATGACAAGACCCTGTCTCAAAAATACAAAAAAAGGGGGGCTGGGGATTTAGCTCAGTGGCATAAGCACCTGCCTTGCAAGTAGGCAGTCATGAGTTCGATCCCTGGTACCGATAAAAAAGAAAAAGACAATAAATAAATAAATAAAACCAACAGAGAGAGATATTCCACCTCACCCTGGAAAAAATGGCCATCATCAAGAAATCAAGCAATAATAAATGCTGGAGGGGCCAGAGGGAAAAAGGAACCATTCTTCACTGTTGGTGGGAGTGTAAACTGGTGGTGCACCACTGTGGAAATCAGTGCAGAGATTCCTCAAAAAACTAGGACTACAGGTCCCATTCCACCCAGCTATTCCCCTCTAGGTATCTTCCCAAAACAATTAAAAACATCATACAACAGCTTTATATATGCACCCATGTTTATAGCAGCACAATTTGTAATAGTTAGATCTTGGGCCTGAGTTAGCTCAATAGCTGCCTGGCAAGTGTGTGGTCATGAGTTCAATCCCCAATACAAAAAAAAAAAGTTAGATCTTGTAAACAATAAAATGCCCATCCACTGAGGAATGGATAAATATCACTATTTATACAGTGGGGTACTGCTCAGCCATAAAGAAGGACAAACTGGAGACTTTTATAGGTAAATGGATGCAACTTGAGACCATACTCGTAAATGAAATAAATCAGACACACAGGTATAAACATCACATTGTCTATTAGTAAGAAGCTGAAAGAAACATGTATATGTGTATGTATGTGTATGTGTAAATGTATATGTATGTATGATTTCTCTGAATTCACTGAAAAGAGAGATCTGTGCTGGTATCAGACAATTGAATGCAGATGTCTTGTGCTCCAAGCAAATGATTTGGGGATGACAAGAAGCATTGTTGTCCCCTGACTGACGAGTTCTGAAATTTTGTTTTGTTTTTGTTTTTTCTCTTTGAAATAAAAGATTTAAAGAAAAAGAGAAAGAAAAAAAGAGCTCACTAACAACAGATCCTAGCCCACTCACAGAATCCAGTAACAAGGAGGCACTTGTGCCGCTGAGCTAAATTCCCAGGCCCCAGAACCCAGTAACAAATACCACTGCCCCCCTCAGACCTCAGCACCTTGGTACAGTGGAGTCCGGCTACCCCTGCGCCCCGCTCCCTTTTGGGAATGCAGGGGGGACTCGGTGGGGATGGCTGAGAACACAGCGCTGCAAAATCAATCCTGCAACATTTCAATAATAAAAATGGCTAAAACCTCTGACCTAGTAATTCTACTTTTGAGATCCTATCTTAAATAAATTATTCAACACCAGTGTAATGATGATAATTACAGCATAAGAGACAATTAGAGAAAGAAATAATCCAGAAAACACTAATACATTATAGCAAATTCATTCAATGGAATATTAAGAAACTAATTAAAAAATGTCTTATTCCATGTGTGCTGCTTTAATAAAGTATTATTTAATAAAATAACAGAAATGTGTTTTTCAGGGTTCTGGAAGCTGGGGAGGCCACGCCTAGCATGTGCAAGGTCATGGCTCCACTCTCTGGAGCTAAGACTGCAGAGCCCATGCTAGCATGTTAGACAGTAAGTCCTCACTCAGCAGGAGGGACAGTGGACATAGGCCTGGCTACTTCCCTCTGGCCCTTCATTAGGCATGAATTCTACCCCATACTGCAAAGCTCGCACAGCATAAACATCTCCTAGAGACCTCACTGCTTAATATTGTTGCATGGGCAATTCAGTTCCAATAGGACAAACACTGAAACCACAGGCTGGATGGGCAGCCATAGTGGCGCATACTTGTAATCCCAGCACTCTGGAGGATGAGGCAGGAGGACTGCCACAAGTTCAAAGCCAGCCTGAGCTACACAGAGAGTTCAAGGTCAGCCTGAACTACATAGCAAGTCCCCATCTCAAACAACAACAACAACAATAAAATTCAAACCACAGTAGAAAATAGTATAATGACTACACAACAATAGGGAAAAGCAAATACAATACTGTTGTTCAGTGGGGGGAAAATTACACTATTTCCGTACTGATCACAATCATGTAAAAATTAGTGACAGTGACAAGCCAGAGTTCAAGTACAGACAGCACAGAAGGTACTGTTAAGAAACAACAAAACAGCAACAATCTTTGTGGCCATGGGTTAGGCAAGACTTCTTAGCCACAACACCAAAAACACAAACCATAACAAGAAAATGATATACATCTTCTCCCATGGATGTTTAAGAGAATAAAAATGTAGGCCACAGCTGCCATAATATATTTTGCAAATTATACTTCTAGACACACACACACACAGAGACAAGACATAAAAATACTGATAAATTGAGTAACTGATAATTTAAATTAATATTTTCTGCTCATCTAGCAATCTCAAAAAACTGTCAGGCGTGGTAGTGCATGCCTGTAATCTCAGCACTCAGGAGACTGAGACCTGAGGATGGCCATGAGTTTGAAGCCAGCCTGGGCTACATGAGTTCAAGCCCAGACTGAACTGCAAAAAGCCTAATAAACACTCATCCAGCAAAGGACTTGGAAAGAACAGGGAAGAGGCTCAGTTTTTTTTTTTTTTTTAAACAGACAAAAATCCACAGAAGAAAATGTCTAAGTGACACACAAAAGGTTTGATATTGTTGCAATCAGGGAAATGCATATGACAACCACAGCAGGATGCGCTGGCAGCCCATGACAGACCACAGGGGCCTTGTGCATGTGGTAAGCATGTAGCCAGCCCAGCCTAATGGTTTCCAGTAAGTGGCTGCATGTGTGGCCTGTGACCCAAGTCTATGAGGGGGCTCTTGCAAGTGTTTGTGCGCCAACTCAGGTAGGAGTGTTCACGGCAGCTTTAAATACAATGGCCAAAGCTGGAAATGACCCAGTGTGATGAATATGGGACAAGGGCAAATGAACAGTATTCCTTTACATAAAAGACTTGTAAAGAAGATGCTTCATATACAGTAACATAGAGACAAGCACAGGTATGCAAAGAAAACTCAGGGAGAGTACAAGGATTCCTGCCAGAGGATACACAGGAAACCCAGCCAGGATGGACATGGAGATTAAGCCAGGCTCACAAGTAACTCATTTTTTAAAGTAAAGAGTTCTAGAATGTAATTCGGTGGCAGTATTTGTCTTCCATGTGCAAGGTCATAGGTTCAATTCCCAATTGAATCAAAAAGATTAAAATAAATAAAAAGCAGAAGATAGAAACCTAATACCACCTTAATCTGCACACCAAGTGCTTGTTTTCTGAGGGAAGAAACTGCCCTTTTTGGCCTCCTCCAATCTTCCTCTTCAAGGGCTCAACAGACGTGGTTCTGCTCCCTCTGTGCACCTCAGTCCAGGTCACACTGGGCAACCATGGCAGGTACTGCCAACTGGATGGCTGCAGGGATGGCAAGATTGGGATTGTGGCCTCTGGGGGACTCGGTGATGCCTACCTTTTGCCAGTCATTGAAGAAGTTATTCTGGAAAACTTCCTTTGTTGTATATTCATGATCCAACATTTTCCCATAAAAAGTGGCGACCTCCTCAGCTGCTAGGCTCAACTTCACGGGCTTTCCTGCAGACAACCAGAGACATCCCACACCTTATTATAAGGTCAGCGTGACTTGAAGAGATGGGTGGAGGGATATATAAGAGATGACACCTAGGAGCAAAATAGTACACTGGGTGATGTGTGCACACAAGAAAATTCAACTGAAAAGTCTTTATAACAAAATGTCAGAAAAGATACTTATGTATTAGTTTGGTGATAAAGAAAAAAGTATTCATGATCAATAGCAGCAATCTTTAACAACAGAGGCCTGGACTGGGGATTTAGCTCAATGGCACAAGCACCTACCTGGTAAGCAAGATGTCATGAGTTTAATCCCTGGGACCCATCCCCCCAAAAAACACAGAGGCCTATATGAAAAACAATGTGCTTGTGCATATGTGTATCTAACTTCAATAAAGGCTTGAAGGTAGATGAATGTGTGGCTTTTTGTTGTTGGTGGTGGTTTTTTTGGTACCAGGGATCAAACCCACAACCTCATGCTTTCCAGGCAGGCACTTATGCCGCTGAGCTAAATCTCCAGCCCATGTGCGTGCTTTCTGAGTGAATGAATTTGACCATGCTAATGGCTTGACATGGCTTGGAGGTGACAAATTTTTCTTTTTTTAGCAGAAATGCCAAAAATGGATGGAAACATGTAAATCTCAGCATAATACCAAGTAGAACTCCCAGGCAATGGGTAGATGGCCAGGACCCGGGGCAGCTTCCATGAGGGATGGGCAGGCAGCCAGCTGGCCCTTGAGGTCCTGACTCTAAAGGCAGCTAAGTGTATACATAATCAACTGATCCTGCCGGGTATGGTGGTGCATGCCTGTAATCCCAGCATGCAGAAGGCTGAGACAGGAGGATTGCTGAGAGCTAGTGGCCAGCCTGGGCTATCCAGTGAGATCAAGACCATCCTGGAATACATAGCAAGACCCTGTCTCAAAACCAAAATCAAAAATCAAAAAGAAAGAAAGTACTAACTCCATTTCTCACCGAGGAAACATGCAATGGGATCAAATAACTGTTACTCACATGGACATCTGGACATATACAACACATGCACAATCAGGTACCATGAGCAATAGAAATGCTACTTCACCCACCACTGGTCCTGGGCACAGATGTGCACAGCCATGGTGGACTCAGGAGGTAGAATGGGCAGAGAGAAGGCTGCAGAGCCACAGGCTGCTTACCCAGCCCTGCTAGCACAATCTTGGCTCTTGGAGGCCTCAACCCAGCACCCTGAAGCTGCCCTCAGTTTCTGGGGGAGGCTCAGCAGACCCCTGCACTGCTCCTGGCATCCTTGCACCCCACTTGTGGGAAGGCCAGTAGGTTTCAGTGCACAGACCCCATTCAGAGAGGAGGCTGCAGCAGGTTCTGCAGGCGCTCGGTGATCGCAGTGGGGGCATGGTGAAGCAGACCAACACAAGAGGAGCAGCCTCGCCCTGGCGTCCTACCGTCATAACAGAACTGCACTTCCTCAGGAAGCGGCTCATAGGCAGGGGCAAAGTACGGGCCTCGGTGTTCCAGCTGCCTCCACTTCACTCTGTCCTTGCGCTGCTTCTCTTCCAACCTGAAAAGACAGCAGAGAGAGGGCTGACTGCCAAGTGCTGCCCACACATGCCAACCAGGGCCAGCCTTCTGTGTTAGCCCACTGACTTCCCACAGGGGACACAGGTAGGCCTGCACCTGCACCTCACAGAGGGGAAGACGAGGCCAGGCAAGAGAGCGGTACAGGGCCTGCCTGCCAGAGAGTGCTACCAGAATTGGCACAAGGTGAGCTTCCCAGACAGAGTCCGACGAGCCTGGATGAGTGGAAGGGTCCAAGAAACACTCCTCTCCAAGGCTCAGGGGCTCTCCATTAATGGCCCTTCAGAGTCACCATTAATGGCCTAGAATCCTCTAGAACATTTTGACAGGGTCCCGCAGACCACTCCATGTGTCCACATCATGTGGCAAGTAGAGTGTGGCTGTGATTGGAGACCCCTGTTTTCGATGAGCTGAGAGTTGGGAGAGCACACAGGTGGTACAGCCCACAGGGAGACAGGGACACACCTGTGGTCCCACAAGGGAGGGAGGGCCCTGGGGAGGCAGGAAGCCCCTGGAGTGGGTGGGGCATGGGCAGCACCAACACAGCACCATGTTCCCGTGAGGCATCCCCTCATTCTGTCCCCAGATCTTTCTAAGCCAAGACAAACCTGATCCTGGAGACAAACAGACACAATCCATCATGAGGTCACATCACATTTTAACCCTGCCTCAGCCATCATCTGTTCACACAGGTCTGCCCCGGGTCGCCATTAACGTGCTAGGCCCAGGGGTCACACAGATACCAAGGAACCGCAGGGAGAAAACAAAACAAACCAGATCCTGAAACCCCTAGGAGCCTGGAGGCAGGGCTCCCTGTCACCTGAATCCCGCACCGTCACTAGAGGCAAGAGGAGCAGTCCCAGCAGTCCCAACACAGGCAGCAGAGTACAAAGGAAAGGGTACACCGCATGGTGGAAGTGGAAAGAGAGATGACAATTCCTCCCCAGGCACAAAGACCAGCAGACATTCAGCCACCTTATCTTTGACAAAGGTGCCAAACACATTCACTGGAAGAAAGACAGCCTCTTCAATAAATGGTGCTGGAAAGATTAAAACTGGACTCGTATCTTTCACCATGCACCAAGCTAACATCAAAATGGACCCAAAATCTCAATAATGCCATACACGGACTGCAGGGGAAGAGAACAAGAAGTCACCAAGAAGCAAGCCCTCCTTGCAAACTGGTGCCATGTGTGGACCTCTGGGGGTACAGCCAGATGCCAGCCCCTTTGGGCACACAGGCTGGGAACCAAGAAGAGTCAACCCTTGCCATCCCTGCCACTGTAAGCAACTGGCTGATCTGGAAAAACACAGGCTGGAATTATAGCTACTGAGGTAAAGTACAATCTAATGTTTGCAGTATTTAGGGTTTTACTCACTTTGAAGTCTGATCATCTATTCAAGGGAGAACAGTACACAATATAGCTTCTATGAGGGATCCCCTCAGGTGGTAGGCATGGTTAACTCCCTATCATCTTGTTTTGAAGTCCTCTATCATTTTTATTGTTTTACTGGGTCAGGTTTTATTTGGTTTTGTTTTGTCTGATTTTATTATATACAATGGCACGGGCAGCTATTTCAAAGATAGCAAGATACATTATGGTAGCCATTTTGGACTTACTCTTATTTTGTTTTAAAGTTCTTTATTGCATTCATTGTTTTGTTTTGATTGATTCCATTCTGTTGTTTTGTTTGATTTTTTAATTGTTTTTGTTTTGTTTTGTCTGATTTTTTACTACATCTAAAGGTATCTGCAGCTATTTTAAGACAAAAGCCATCACGGTAACCACTGTTAATTTCCTATTGTTTTAAAGTCCTTAATACTGTTTTGTCTTGATTGGCTTTATTCTGTTTTATTTTACTAGGTTTTATTTTCTTTAAAAATAAAATGAAAATCTCAATAATTAAACAGAAATATTAAATCTGCTGGCAGATAGAGTATGTAAAAATCTTAAAAAGACACTGGTGCAGACAAAGATTTTATGAACAAAATCCCAATTGCACAGGAACTATCACAAAGAATCAATAACTAGGGGTCAGGGATTTAGCTCAGTGGCATAAGCACCAGCCTTTCAAACGTGTAGTTGTGAATTTGACCCCTGGTACCCCCCCCCAAAAAAAAAGATTAAAAAACAAGAATCAACAACTGGGATCTCACCCTATTGGAAACTTTTGCACTACAAGAGAAACCACCAACAGAGTGGGAGAAAATGTTTGCCAGCTGTACCTCAAAGGATTACTATCGAGAACATATAAAGAACTCAGAAAAATCAGTCCTCCCAGAGTTAAAGACCCAATCCAAAAATAGGCATCTAAGATGAATACACACTTCTCTGATGAAGAAATACGAACAGCAGATAAATATGTGAAAAAAATGTTCAATATCACTAAGTATTAAAGAGATGCAAATTAAAACAATGTGAGATTCCATCCCTGGAAAGAATGGCTATTAGCAAGGAACCAACCAATAATAAATGCTGGAGGTCTTGTATCTTGGCATAACTGATGCCATCTTGAGCTCTGCATTTAACTAGCGCCCTGTATTTGACCCAGGAAAATGGAAAATTACTCAGGGTATAAGATCCCTGAGAAAAGCAGAATGAGTTGTACCCACAGGAGAAAAATTAAGCTGCTCAACAAAGGAGCAGGATACAGGTGTCAACCAAAAATTAATTAAGATTCTAGCTGAATTGTTTCCAACAGGATGTCTTTTTGTGGTTCTCTGTTTAAAAGCTTTGTAACTTTGCAGTTCAGGGCCACTTGGTGAGACTGAAATGGGTCTACACGAGCAGTCACTGAGCTCAGCTAATTGAATTTGAAATTTATCAGTTTAGCTGCTTGGATTCCTATATTGTTTATGAACCCACTTCAGAGGGGCTGTGGGGGAAAGGGAACCCTTCTCCACCATTGGTAGGAGTTTAGACTGGTGCAACTACTGTGGAAAGCATTGTGAAGATTCCTTAAAAAACTAGGAATAGAGGTTCCATTCAACCCAGCTATTCCCCTTCTGGGTGTCATCCCAAGAGAATTAAAATCATACACAGCTTTATATGTGCATACATGTTTATAGCAGCACAATTGTATTTTTGTGCGGGATCTTGCAAACAACCTACATGCCCATCCACTGACGAATGGATAAAAAAGATGTGGTATTTTTATACAATGGAGTACTACTCAGCCATAGAGAACAAACTGGAGACTTTTATAGGTAAATGAATGCAACTCTCATAAATGACACATATGTAAACATAGTACTGTCTCACTAGTAAGACGCTGAAAAAAAACACTGTGTATGCGTTTGTGTATATATATATATAAAGCTAGTTAAAACAGTTACACTGACTTCTCTGAATTTACTAAAGAGAGAGATCTGTGCTGATATTGCTCAGACAATTGAATGCAGATGTCTTGTGCTCTAGGTATGATTTGAGAATGACAAGGAGCATTGTTGCCCCTGCCTGACATATTTTGGAATTCTGCTTTATTTTCTGTTTGTTTTTTCTCTTTGAAATAAAATGGATTTTAAGCAAGCAGGCAGTCGTGAGTTCGATCCCCAGTACCGATAAAAAGGAAAAAGACAAAAAAAAAGGCCAGACAGATGCCTGGGCCTCCGAGCTTAGCAGCCCTCCCTGCACTAGGCCTGGTAGCCTCACGAGTGGAAGTAAGTCTCTGGTGGTATAAGAAGGGAAGGATGTGAGCAAGAGACATTCTGAAAGGGACTTTTTGACTTTTGCAGAGAAGCACTGGGGAGGGTAAGGAAGAACAGCGAACAGTGAAGATGATTTAGGCAGAGCTGACAAACTTCAAACTATTGAGATTATCCAGGAGTAGTGGTACACGCCTATAATCCCAGCACTGAGAGAGGCTGAGGCAGGAGGATCTCAAATTCCATCTGGAAAATTTAGATTGTCTCAAGAAGAGTGATTTGAGAACACTCCAGGGTTTGATTTTTTTAAATCAAATCCCCAATGTTTTAATTTTGTATCAAAAACCCAAACAAAACAAAACTAGTGGGCTTAAGGGCATTCTAAGGTGGTATAAAGGAACTCTTAAACAAATTCTGTGATACGGTATCTATGCTCTGAGGGATGAGGGAGAGGAAGGACAGGGTCAGGGCAGGGCCGGAATCGCAGGGCAATCATCAGCTTCCCTGAGGCTGGAAGCTGCCGGCATAGCAGTCCTACCTAGAAGTGATGAATTGACGCCTCCCAAGTCCACTCACAGAATGGTGGCCAGGTCTTGGAAGCCTGGACATTGCCATGGTGGGTAGGGTACGCATGTAAGAAGGAGTGGAATAGGAGGTAAGATATGAAAACTACAGCCAAGCTGGCTCAGGAAATAAACGAGGCCTGCTAATTACAAGACTCTTCTCTTGTTTGGCCCAAGTTCGCGCTGCAGAGCCACTGACTCCTCCACCCCTCACTTTGAAATAAACTTCTGGCACTGTCTGCATTCTTGGCTTGTCATATTTAATTCTTCGAGGCAAGAAAGACCTGGACACGTTTAACTGACAAGCCACTTCTAAAAGAAACTACCTTCTAACACGAGGGGGGGCCCACTGAATCCAAAGACCTTCATGAGTCAGAGACAGTGCTGTTGGTCTCACAGGTTCTATGGTGTTAAATAGCTCCACCCACCTTACTCCAGGATACCAGGGTGGCACTGACTGCAGGTGCCACTAAGAATTAAACTAAAATGCTTTCTCATAGATCCACCAAGAGTCATCCCGGCCCCCAGTGTGCGACAAAATGCCAAAAGCAAGACTCTGAACTGACAGTAATGCTTGTCACTAAAGCCAACAGGTAGTTTCTGCCAGCACCCCTATTTCCCTGACAAGGACACTGAGATCAAGGTTAAACAAGTTGCTGGCCACCAACTGGGCAGAGCGTAGGGTGCTGCATTGTGGAGGCCTTCATCTGCCCCTTCAGATGGGGACACCAAGCTCTGCCATCAGAAGCAAGTTCCTGCCTCCTATTGTGCCTGTGCAACCACACCCCACGGCTCCTCCTGAAGCATCTGCCTGCACTTTGGTGGGAATAGCACCATCTGGGATCCCCACCCAGCCTGGAGGCCTTGCCTCCCTACCCACTCTCAGAGGTTCTCGAGCTCCCTCAGGCAGAGGCTGCAGTGATAGCACAGCACTGTCACTGTGAGGCACCACCATCGGGGCACTAAGTGACAACCAGTAAACTCTACTGGCTGTAGGGACACCTGAGGCAACCTCTCCGTGCAGGCAGTGAGGCTGCGACTTGGAAGCACAGTATCTCAACTACGTTCCCTGAGCCAATAACACTCCAGCAAGCTAGAGGCCTGGGGTGTGCGCTGGACGCTTTGGTCCCAGGTCAGTGAGCGCAGGCACAGTAGGAGAATCGCTGGGAACTGACCTGGAAACCCGAGAATCCAGACTGGAGCCCAGTACTAAACCTAAGGCATTGCAGCGGGGATGCACAAGGAGCGAAAGGCCCGTCACTCTGGACAGGTTTGGGTTCCAGAATTCTGCAAGTCACTAATACCTGGTGTGGTGTGGCTTGCCCTTCTTCAGGTCACCTGAGATTGGGGGGGGGGATCCAAGAGCGTGTAACCCTCCCGCACGGGTAGTACCCGATTCGCACTCAGCTCCTCTGGTCCACGTGCTCGCCTTACCCTGATTTGCTGGCCTTCGGCTGGGTCCCGGAGGCCCATCGGCAAGAAAGGTTCCCGAGCCGCAAGCACACCACCTGGCGGAGCCCGCGCGGCACCCCAGCCTTCATTGGGTCTGGCACTTTGCTCTTAGAAACGCCAAACAACCAGCCAGCCCTAGCTCCACCTACCCTCCCCCCGGAACCCGCCCAGCCTTCCCCCGGAACCGCTTGCACAGCCCCCCCCCACCCCGCCAGCCCCGCCCGCCGACAGAGCCCCGCCCACGGCCAGATCCCGCCCCAGGGTGTGCGGCGACTCCTGAGCACTGCCCCGCTATCCCCGCTCCTCTCCAGGACCGTGAGCGCACCTGGCAGGTACTTTCCAGGCAGAAGAAAGAGGACGCCATCTGCTCAGAGGGTCCTACCTCATTACATAGCTCAGGCTACCTAAATAGCAAAATACAGCAAAAGCCGCCACTTCCAGGACACAGAACCGACAGATCGCGCCTGTTCAGCTCAGTGTAGCCTCTTGGGGTGACTAAACAGACTCAACAGAAATCCTGCAAAACGATCTTCACTGACCAGCCCCTCACTCCAAGGACACCAAAGACGGGGTACAACGGGAGCCTCCTTTACCACTCGAGGTCTTAGGATTATCATGCTGGCCTGGAGTCCTCCCGGGCAGCGTGGCCAAATTGCAAAACCTCTACACCAGTAGCCAGCTACATCGACCAGCCTCCCAGATCTGCACAGCCTTGATATGTGACCATAACACATTAGGAGGAATACAGTGGAGACAGGCAGGAAGGGCCAGCTCACCCTGATAGGACCCTTCAACTTCCACCCGTTTATTTGTTTTCCACTGACATCTAGTGGCTGGAGGCATGAACACAAGTGCTGGCCTGCACCAGGCTGCCCTTGCTGACTCCAGAACCTATGCAGCCGCATAGCTGCCCATCATCTCAGAAGAGGCATCCCAACTGCTGTAGGGGGACACAGAATAGACACCGACAGCCACCTCCTCCAGGTGCTGCTGAAAGGCTGCATGCATTGTTTTTCAGTCTTCTACAAAGCAGGAAGACATCCCAGCACAGGCCCATGACTGCTCCACCCTGAGACAGAGACCCCCGTATCTCCACTTCAGGATCCTCAGGTTTTGTAAGAGGTGTGGCAGAACAAAACCCTCTCAACTCTCCAGACACAGAAAATGCATCCAACAAAGCCCAACATCCTTGCATGATGAACAACAAAGGCAAACAAAACAAACAACAAAACCACAAGCCAAGAATGGAAGGGTGTTTCTCCATCCGATAACATGGCTTCAACAAAAGCCATGCAATCAAGTGAAGGACTAGATGCTTCCCCGAGGCCCAGAATCGGATCAGGATATCGTTCTCACCACAGCTGCTCCACACTATACCAACGCCCTAACCCAACCAGCAAATGGAGCAAAGGAGAAAAAAGGATCCAGGTGAGATAGGAAGGCCCAAGCTGTCTCTACTATAGATCGCATAGTCCTCTGTGTTTAGAAAATCCCAAATAATCCACAAAACAAATCCAATAAACAAATTCAGCCACATTACAGGTACAAGAGCAATATATAAACATCAGTTTGGTATCTTTACACCAGCAATGAACAAAGTAAAAAGATCTGAACAAACACTTCTTCAAAGACAATATCTAAATGCAAATAATTCCATAAAAAGATGTTTGGTACTATCAGCCATTAGGGTAAAGCAAAGCAAATTTTGTGCTGGGATGGCTGCAGTCCAAGTGCTGCGTGGTGGGTAAGGGGACCCCAGCTGGACCTTGCCAGAGCAAAGAAGTCAGTCCAGAAAACACTTTCCTATAAGCATCTACCCACAATCCCAGGTCTAGGTCACCTGGCTTTGTGCCCTCTTTCTCCTCTCCAGGCCACCAGGGGGTTTCCAAGGGTAGGAAGTCAGGTTGTCACAGCAAGTAAGGAGGAACCCAATTTGCAAGGCAATCAGGCTTGAGAGATGTAATCATTTTCAGTGGACAGCTGTGCACACAGGAGCTGATACTCCTTCCTGACCCTGAGGCCCACATGACGAGGCCGTGTGATTACAGTGGCTGTGTACAGGCAGCACTGCTCAGCAGAGGTAGTAGGAATTACAGTGGTACCATGGTTGACAAACTTAATTTAGTCCATGATTCTGGGGAAATGACCAAGTTCATGTTCCTTTGGGAAACATCACCAAAGTAGTGTTTGTAACCTGAGGAAGATTTTGTGAATGGGAACAAAATTTTGCAGAACACTTCTGTTTATAAAACTGTTTGCAAACAGAAGCATTTGTGAATTGAGGTACCACTCTACATTGTTGTAAAGTCAGATTTCAAAAAAAACAAGTGAATTTGATTTCAATAACAATTTCTACCAATATATTCAAACATCATCTCCATATAAAGAATGAATGAACCAGTACACAAGCTTTGTCTCACTCTGGCTGTGCACCTCCCACCTGTAGGATACACCACAGGGGCTGGACCAGGGCTCCTCCTCCTGGTAGCTGTGTTACCTTGGGTAGGTCACTCAAGTTCTCTGAACCTATTTCTCATCTGAAAAATTGAGCCCCAACAACTCGCGCACAAAGACCTTACTAAAAGCAACACAGGTACACAGCATCATTAAGCCAACTCGCCCCACTGAAGCCAAGAGATGAGGAAAGTTAGGCAGATAACATACAGGTCCTGAGTAGGTAACTTAAAATAAACAAAAAGTTGAAACCCAAGTGAGGTTTTTGTTTTTTGTTTTTCTATTTTTTGTTTGTTTGTTTGTTTGTTTTTTGTACCAGAAATTGAACTCAGGAACTTGTACCATGAACTATATCCCTAGCCCCTAAGTGAGCTCCTAAAATGAACTATCAGGGCCTAAAGAGATGCAAGAGATCTTGGAGGAAGTCAAACGCAAAGGAAGCAGTTTGCTTTCCAGATATCGAGGGCCTTCCTGCAACCAGGAAATCTCTGCTTTCTATCATGTACACTGATCCCCAAAACTGTACAAAAACTCAGTGGACTGAACATCTACAGTGTCCAGCTTAGGGAACACCTCTCTCCTAAAACTAGTGCTTTCTAATAAAAGCATATCTGGTCATTCCCCCACAGCTTGCCATTTGCTGTCTCATTTCAGTCTTTGTTGCTCCAAAACAAGGACTCAAGATTCAGTTACATCAGTGCCGAAAACCCATATCCCTGGGTCACCAAAGCCAGGAGCCTTCTGAATGGCGTTCTGTGCCTCCCACAGCCTGCAGCAGCATGTCGCTTTGTCATCAGCCCCTTTTCCCAATCTGGGAAGGCTGCCCGATCTCAATGGGCAGGGACGGTTCAGGCCGTCTCCACCTGTCACGCTCCTTGCCCTCTGCCTTTTCAGGCCACCTTCTTCAGCTCAGCTGTCTCCTGGTCATCTTTCATGTCCTGGACACCAAGCAATCAGTTGATTCCTCCTCTACTTTTACTCTGCCACCAGGTGGCCTCCTGCTACTCCTGGTCCTTTTTGGTACTGGAAATCAAGGAGTCACTTGTACTGCTGAGCGCATCCCCAGCCCTCAGAGTTTGCTTTCTTCATCCTGTGATGCCTTTTATTTCCCACATAGTTCTAGCCATCCTGGCTGCAGGTACATATAGCTGTCCTCCTGCCAGGTACTACCTTTGGTGTTATCTCTACATTGTTCTGCTCTTGGGTCTTGAAGCATGGCTCAGCAGAGGAACCCCTAAGGGCTACCATCACCTCAACTTTAGGATCTCCATGAGACTTTGGGACCTAGCAGAACAGAGCAAACACAATGTGGATGGGTGGCACCCACGGCCTGTCCCCACCCCACCTCCCCAAGGAAAAGGAAGAGAAAGTGGCATAGCACCCCCATAACCCCCTCTATCGTAGTTAAGGGTTGCAAGAAAAACCACATATAGGACACATAATGGCCACCCAAGGAGTCAAATGCAAAGACCTGTACAGGAGATGTGTCCACACACTAAAGACCTAGAAAATCCAGCAGAGGGCCTGGACTCCATGGCAATAAACTGCATGAGTTCAGCTGAAAACTTAGAGCCTATGACAATGCCTCCCATGAGTTCAACTGACTTACAGCTTATAATGACTCTTGTAAGTCTATTTCACAGATGTATGCTGGTAAGGCCCAAAGGTCAGTGGTGGAAGCTAGAAAGTCTATGCCAGTGGAATGAAGGACCTGTGCCAGTAGGTTGAGGGTTCTGCACTGGAGCCAAGTAGCAATGCTCAAAATAATGACCAGGGTTCCTCTGAAGAGTACAGCCATTGTCAGCGACAACAAGGTCCTGAGCTCTTCCAACATTAGGAACAGCTGAGTTCATATCAAGAAGCCAGCATGACAAACTTCTCCTGGCGACTGAACAGCACATCATCTTCCCCTACAGAACCAGGAAGCGATGATTAGAGCAAGGCCCAGAGCTCCCTCAAAGTGAACCACAGCCGCTCTCAACAACAAGGTCCCAAGCTCCTCCGATGATAACACCAAGTTCATACTGATATAAGGGAACAAAACTCCCAACTACTAGCTGTCCAGTATGAGTTCATGTTCTCTAAAATGGAAGAATGGATTTTAGGAACAATGAAGGTTAAGAGCAGAATATATTTATTGAGAGAAAGAAAGCTTCTTTCTGGGAGAGAGAGAGAGAGAGAGAGTTCTAAGTGGGTTGCCAAAGACTATCTTTTCTATGGACTTTTATAAAGTAAAACCACGAAGGGCTGGGGATTTAGCTCAGCGGCATAAGCACCTGCCTTGCAAGTGTGCGGTCATGAGTTCAATCCCCGGTACCAATAAAAATGAAAAAGACAAAAAAAAAAAAAAGTAAAACCATGAGTTGAAATAGGTTCAAGATGGGGAAATATGGGAACTTAACAAGGCGGATGGGCATGAGGTGGGACAGAGCTATTGTCAACCAATAAGATTAATTGTTCGGTGAAAATTAACCAAATCAAGGACAAATAGAGAAGCAAGTCATGTAATGAGCAGGCATTCTTATAGAGCAGTGACTCTTCCTGTGGGAGGTTAGGATGGTAGCTTCTGGCTCCCTCCAGGTGATCCATACTTATTTAGAATATCAATTCCAGGGCTGGGGATTTAGCTCAATGCCATAATCACCTGCCTGGCAAGCTTGAGGTCGTGAACTTGATCTCCGGTACCCCCCCCATCAATTCCTGATGTTTATACTTAGAGTGTGGTTGATTTGTTTTGCCTTTTGTCTTGAGATCCAGTCACAAGACATCTGTACTCTATGCCAGATCCCTCAAGGGCCTAGCCCTGGTTGATTGCCTATAATATTTCTATCTAACTCAGCTGCCTATAACACTAGTTTTGTCCTACCTTGTACCCATCTTGTGATTTTGCTATTTAAAACTTCCTCCAGAAAGTGGAGTCTAAGGCAACCCACTAGGGCCCCCTCTTGTCTGTCTCAGGAGCTGTTTCTCTCACAATAAAATGCCCTACTCTTAATCCCTGTTCCTTAGAATCCATTCTTCAATTTTGTAGAACATGACCTGGCTATCTGACATCTAGCAGGTTGGGAGTTACATTTACTTTCCCTATATAATCTATACCAACACTACAGGACATAGAAGGACATACAATTCTAGTGTGGTGGTGCAAATCTGCAATCCTAGCCCTTGGTGTGATAGCTCAGACCCCGGAGTAAAATCCAAGGAAGCAAGAAATTAAAATTTAGGGAGCAAAGGCTTTATTTTAGGCCAGGCATGGTGACGCAGA